TATTAAAAATGTATATAAATAAGCAAACATACATACACGTAACTTACACATCTATGTATCTGTGTGTGTATATACATACATATGTTAAGAATGTGTACATACATTTGTACCACCGCTAGAATTAAATTGGTCTCAAGGCCAAAAATCTGCAGATGAGCCACCATTATATGCTTCGTATTTACTCGGCTACCTTATTTCAGGTTCGGGCAATGAATATGTGTTGTTTGTCATGGTTAGTCATACCGCCATTAAATGATAGTGTCTTTTAACAGTGCATGTACAGAATACATACGTATGTATGTGTGGACTTAGCTGCGTGAATTATTTACACTTCAAAATATATCTTATTGTAACTGGCAGCCATGCAATATTATTGTATAAAGTTGTTATTTCAAATTATTTCAAAGCAATTTCAACTCAACTTAGTCTGTAGAATTCTATTATAAATTTTATTAGGAGTACATAGAAATTTGGATCCTAGAATTTTCGAACACATTGAATACGCTTTCAGCTTTAAAATTAGATTTAATGTAGATGATTGATAGACCGGCATCGATGTATGATGACAAGTTACTTCTAAGTGTCTTAAGAAATTTATTATTTTTATATATTTTTGTATTATTGTATTATGTTCAAAGAAGCCTAAATTAATTCAGCTAAAAGGTAACACGACATTACTTACTAATTTTGATACAAAAATTTGACAGCTCCAAAATTAAAGAACTTTAAAGGAAAATAACGTATTTTTCAAATATTCCTAAATTTTTCAGTATTTTTAAGATATATTCTGCTATTCGGGGCGGAGACAAATCCAACAAATCAAAAACCATGAAAATTGGTCCAGCAGATCTCGAGCTATAAGTGGAGGAGCACTTTTACACAACTCTCTTTTATATATATAGAATAAATATGTATACTCGTTCACTGAGTGAAACGGGTATAGTGAAATAAAAGCTCATATATTTAAGAATTGGTTAATCCTCTATAGGTAGCTGAAAATAATATTTTGTAAAAAATTGAGAATTACTAAATAACTTTCGATAGCGCTACTAGCATTGAACAGTCGGAGGTACAATTTTAAAGTTATAAGTTTTGATCTTTGCGGTAAATCCGGAACACTTCATATAATTTACAGTAAAACACTTAGCATTTGGAAAGTGAACGGGTATTGAGCCGCCGGTAGATCCTGACAGCAACGTTATTAAGTTGTCTTGAAATATGTTAATTTAAGTAGGGAATTCATTAGATAATAGATTTTAGAGATTTATGTGAACTCACGCTTATAGTGATGTCGAGGTTATAAACGCAGTATATATGTACTTGTTATACCCTGAACCCATTTTCAATGGGAAATCAGGGTATAATGGTTTTGTTGAAATGTATGTAACAGGCAGAAGGAGGCGTGGCAGACCCCATAAAGTATATATATTCTTGATCAGGGCGACGAGCTGAGTTGATTTGGCCCTGTCCGTCTGTCTGTCCGTATGTATGAACGCGTCGATTTCAGAAGATATAAGAGCTAGAGACTTCAAATAATTATTTTTTTTAATGTCCGTAATTACAGCGCGCATATCAAGTTTATCATTAAAAATCGATAACTCATCCCGATCTTTTTTTATCGATAAAAAACCTTATCGAAAACCAGTTATAAAATTATATCTCCTACACCTTTACTGCTAGACTCTCCAAATTTTTTATGTATACTAATATGCAATTTATGCAATTTCGGTTTTTGTTAAAATTTACCCCCCACCCCCATATCCACCCCCCCACCCTCACTTTTGTATTTCAAATACTAGAGACTTGTGCTTTGGCAAATACATGCATATCCATGTTGCAATCATAATCTGAAAGTTTCATGAAGATCTATGTCCAAAAAGTTATTAAACAATTAAGTTTTCATAGTAAGCCAACACTGCAGCCCATGCGTGTTTATGCGTGGGTGCTTGTGTGTGTATGTGTTTGTGTATGTGTTTGTGTATGTGTATGTGTTTGTGTATGTGTGTGTGTGTATGCGTTTGTGTGTATGCGTTTGTGTGTGTATGCGTGTGTGTGTATGTGTGTGTGTATGTGTGTGTGTATGCGTGTGTGTGTATGTATGCCTGTGTGTGCGTGCGTGCGTGTGTGTGTGCGTATTTCTGGTGTAAGCTGAAAGACGCGAAAAATGATTGAAATAGCTATTGCTCCAAGGGTTCAGGGGATCTCGTAGTCGAGCAGTCTCGACTATAGCTTTCTTACTTGTTGATTAGCTGGCAAATATGCTAATTACATGGATGATATCGTACAATATATTTATGTAAATAGAATTAACTAAACATTAAATCAAAGGGATGTCAAGAGTTGTATGTATGTATGTACATACATACAAATGTATGCACATTAACACTGCCTTGCTTTTAGTTCCTGATTTGAATTGGTCTTTGATGATTTTTGCCATTCCATTTTCTTCGAATTCCAATGTAACTGCTAATGTATTAAAAAAGTATATAAATAAGCAAACATACATACACGTAACTTACACATCTATGTATCTGTGTGTGTACATACATACATATGTTAAGAATGTGTACATACATTTGTACCACCGCTAGAATTAAATTGGTCTCAAGGCCAAAAATCTGCAGATGAGCCACCATTATATGCTTCGTATTTACTCGGCTACCTTATTTCAGGTTCGGGCAGTGAATATGTGTTGTTAGTCATGGTTAGTCATACCGCCATTAAATGATAGTGTCTTTTAACAGTGCATGTACAGAATACATACGTATGTATGTATGGACTTAGCTGCGTGAATTATTTACACTTCAAAATATATCTTATTGTAACTGGCAGCCATGAAATATTATTGTATAAAGTTGTTATTTCAAATTATTTCAGCAGCAATTTCAACTCAATTTAGTCTGTAGCATTCTATTATAAATTTTATTAGGAGTACATAGAAATTTGGATCCTAGAATTAAATAATACAACAAATTTTACTTGGTTTTCGAACACATTGAATATGCTTTCAGCTTTAAAATTAGATTTAATGTAGTTGATTGATAGACCGGCATCGATGTATGATGACAAGTTACTTCTAAGTGTCTTAAGAAATTTATAATGACCCATTAAATGTTCAGTCTTTTTGTATAGCAAGATGAACAATAAGTGAATCTGGAAGAAAAAAAGTGATAAAAGTGTTCGTTTGAAAATAGTAGCTGAGGAAGATTAAAGGCGATAGTTATGACAAGTATCCCTAGTCTTACCTTAACAGTTGCTTAATGCAGGTATTTTGTTTCTTTCTGTTTGAAATTTGTTGTGATTGGATTTGCAGTACTAGTAGGTATCCAGTTATCTTATGCTTCTAACACTTCTTCGGGCTCAGACATCGCGTTTTTAACGGTGTTCTCTTTAACAGGGCTAACGTTCAAGTCCTATATTTTAGAGTTTCGATTAGTATACGTTGATAAAAATTGCATGATGAGAACAATGAATGGGAGAGACAGTTAGAAAGATAGAGAGCGCGCATAAAACGACAAAAACACCAAAACTCATTTATGAAAAAAAAAAAAAAATATATATATATATAAATGAAAGTTTGTCAAATTTTACCTTACACATATAGTCCGTTTATACGAAGTTCCTTATTACAATCAATAAAAGCGTTTCGTTCACATTACAATGATTTAGGTATAATATATGAAGTATTTGTATACTCGTTCACTGAGTGAAAGGGGTATAATGAAATAAAAGCTCATATATTTAAGAATTGGTTAATCCTCTATAGGTAGCTAAAAATAATATTTTGTAAAAAATTGAGAATTACTAAATAACTTTCGATAGCGCTACTAGCATTGAACAGTCGGAGATACAATTTTAAAGTTATAAGTTTTGATCTTTGCGGTAAATCCGGAACACTTCATATAATTTACAGTAAAACCCTTAGCATTTGAAAAGTGAACGGGTATTGAGCCGCCGGTAGATCCTGACAGCAACGTTATTAAGTAGTTGTCTTGAAATATGTTAATTTAAGTGGGGAATTCATTAGATAATAGATTTTAGAGATTTATGTGAACTCACGCTTATAGTGATGTCGAGGTTATAAACGCAGTATATATGTACTTGTTGATAAGCTGGCAAATATGCTAATTACATGGATGATATCGTACAATATATTTATGTATCTAAATCAAAACACCTCGCTGAGATTAATATAGAATGTGTAACAATACAATTTGCACATGATTTTTATTTATATTTTTACTGTATTTTTTTTTTTTTTTTTTTTTTTTTTTTTTTCTTTTAAATAATTCTGTTTTTAAAACTCTAATTCTAACAGCCAAGTCAACGATATATAAAATCTATCTTAATTTACTACGAAAAGTAAATTGAAACTTTAACAATAAAATCAATTTAACTAAATACTCTATACTTGTTGTTTTTGTTTATATTAAATATATTTTAAAATCCCTATTTAATACAACATTAAAATTTTCGTTTTTAATTCTTGTTTCAAACACGAAATCTTAACTTACAAGGAACTAACTTGAACTAGAGTTTGTATTGTGTGTGTAATTTATTATTTTTAGCTACATCTATCATAGAACAATGCGAAATTGGTATTTTTTCACACAACTTAGTCCCTCAAAAACACATGCTGTTTGTATAGCTCTCAAAATAAAATCCATATATAAATGGGTTAGGACGCTCAAACTGAAAATTTGTCTTTGCTTTCTGGATCGTATATTAAAAAGAATTATTGTATATAAATATAAAATATATATAGAGAATGTACACAATATTCACATCAACAGTAACCAAATATAAACTTATTATTAGTTTGTCGATAGCTAGAATATATACTGATAAGATAATACAATATAATATAATATTGGTTGTACTTCAGTTCCACTTCTACTAGGTGACAATAAGAAGTTTTTCGTATTCATTTATCTAAAAAGGAGAAACATCTAAATATTAAATTACAATTGTGTTTTTATATTTTTTTTGACAAATTCAAGACAAATTCAATTGACTTGTGGTGGTTATTTCTCTTTAGTGTATAAATGAAGAAAAAATAAATAAATAAATATGAAGTGTTAGGAAACGAATACAAATCATTGGAATTTAATGTAATCAAAAAGGAAATAGGTACGTTAAACTTGAGTTCGAGAGTGGTCTGATATGACTAGGTAAGAGGTGTATATAAACACTGAAGGTATGACTCTCAAGTGCTTATATACATACATATATTCCAAAAAGCCAAGTAGCATCCGTTAAAATTTCGATGCATTTGTTGGATATATATTTTCGTGCAATAATAAATATTGTTTGAGGATCTTCTTTACTTCATCCAAAATTATAATTGTTCTTTACTTTATTTCACTTTGAATGAAAAAAAAAAAAATGTATTGCTTTGAGAAAAATGCATCTACTTGGTAGTGGAACATATGGTTGATAGTATAATTAATGTTAGGTAGATCATATAATAATCATACTTTATATATATTGTAGATTAGGTTGGGGAGGAGTTTTCAGATTCTGACTCATTTCACTTTATTTCAATGACATCAAATTCTTTTTCGACGAATTAAAAAAACAGAAACAGAAACAAACATAAAATTGATTTGAATGGGAACTAACCAAAACTGGGATTAAATAAATGGAAATACTAATATGGCATAGTTGAACGTAATAAGAGTTGTCTAGTAATGTTCTACTTATTATCTACGAGGGTCTGGTGCAACATCTCCTCAACAAATTAAATAAAATCACAGGTTTGCTTCTTAAATAACAATTTTGATCAATAATTATGTATATATATGTATATATCGACCCTGTATGTAATCTGAATTTGGAACAGTCGTATGCACAATACCTGCGCGTATAATAAACATTAACATTTACCTAAATTGCTAAAAATTATATATATATATATATATATATATATAATATATATGTTTTTTGATACACGCTCACTTTCAATGTAAAACGAAAAATATATCTCAAGTATTACAGATATAACTGACTTAATACTATTGTACAATAGTTTGTATATATACACACATACATATATACATATACACGTGCAGATCGAGTCGAAAGAAAAAGAAAAAAAAAAACGATTTCTATTTAATTACTAAAAGACCAATATCAAATGCCGATTGCAGCGTTTTATCACTTTAAAATCCATCTCATTAATTTGATGAAGTAGTCCTGCAATTTTACAATTACAAAACATTGATAGAAAGTTGAATCAAGGTAAATTTAGTTCGTAACGAATTGTGTGAAAAGCATTATGTCGATGATAACCACAAATGTTGTAAATAATAAAGATTAATGGATCAATTCGATTTCCAGTACGAATTGTTTCAAAAATCTAATTATGTCGAGTTTAGAGAGGCAAAAATATGATTACTTAATAAGGCTGCAAATCTAACAAAAAACTAAAAACATATAAATATTTTGAATGTCAATTTATTCTCATGACCCCATAAGTTGGATATGATCATCTAGAAACGATCGGCAAATTATGTTTTTGAAAATTCAAAGTTTATGAATGCTAAAAAAACTTTTGTCAAAATGAAGATTATAATTAAGCATTATATTTTTGCTACGATAAATTCTAGCTCTAGCTATATAAAGGAGTAACAAATCATTAGTGGGATAAACAAATGTGAATTTAATTATTTGCAGCCTTGTGATAAGTACAAAGTAAAAAAATTGGTTCATTAGTGCGTTGTAGTATATTTGTATGTGATTTAGTTTATAAAAGTGGTAGATCTAAGATATTTCAGGTGTAATTGTTGAGTATAGTGTGTGTGTCAAAAACTATTTTCTAAAAACCACAACTAAGAATGTGAAAAAGTTTTCGAATATAATATTTATATGAAATATTTTATACCGATTCCGACCTGGAAAATAGTGTCCTTCAAGTCCTAAACTTGTCTTTATGATTACAAAGCCATTTCAATGTAGTTTTATTAGTTTCTTTCTCAAAACAATTTAAAATACTTACTAGCTAACTAACATGGATATACATTTAATTTTTAGTATGCAATATGTTTATATTTATTTCATACCAACGCGGACCTATCTCTACTTAAATAAATAGAAAACACATCCAAATCATTTATAGCTAGAATATATTAGATATTAAGATCCAATTGATTACTCGTGTTTCCTTTTTTTAATACTTCGGGAACAACTGCAACTGAATTACATTTCTTACATTAATTTTTACTTTTCACCTATACACCAAATTAACAAAAGCCAAATAAGTAAGAGCGATCTAGTCGGGAGAGCACGACTAGTAGATACCGTGAACCCAGCGAAAAACTGTTGACCGAAATACAATTTTTATTTGTAGTTTTCAATATAATAGCACCTATGCGATCGAGCAATCAGACATGGCTGTGAGATTACAATTGATTTTGGTCAGGGCAACGCATTCTTATGAATACCATTTTCAGCGAAGTGGGTTTAGGGTATACAAAGAAAATGAAATATTTACGTTTTTATTTCGCCAAGCTCTATCTTCAATTAACAAACGGTTTACTTTTTAATATTTATAGAGCAGTTATAAGAACTATCTTTTCTTTATCTGAAAACAAACTATAAAGTCGATAATCCAGTAATCGTAAACCTAATTTAGTTTTTAATATAATAATAATACTTAAGCACACAATATACGACTTATGAGTATAAACGTTTAATATATTGTCAGTATATTATCGGTTAAATGCCTCTACACATACAATATAGTTTCAATATTATAGAGAACGATTCGATTCTACCTAAAATTGTTATACATTTTTGGATTTGCAACTTGTAGAGAGAGAGTATCTATGATGGGGTCAACAGATAGAACTTACGACAATAAAGAGCACGACAGCGCCAATAAAATGATTGAATAGCTCGCCAACAGCCCTCAAAATTCAATAGAATCAAGAATCAAGTCAAATATTTTTTGTAATTAAATAGTTTTCAACGTTCGTACTTTAAACATTGTTTTTATATTCATCTTGAATATAATATGTTATATATAGGTGATGTATATGTATATGTATTTTGTATAAATCTTAAGCAAGCCTCTTTCAGTTGGTTTTCGTATGTGTCGGTTGTAAATGAAGTGTGGGTGGCTTCAAGTGGTGTGGCCCATAAAAGGAGTATAGCTGCTGTAAGTCAGCTTGAAACTTACCTTTTTGGCAGGAGGAGCTGGAACTTCCAAGTGATATTTACTTTGACAATAGTCGCGCAGTAAGGCAATGCCTTCCGTACGATTATTAGCATAACGTGACTCCCAAGCATCCAATAGACGATTATAATAGCGTGGAGTGTCATTGTATTTAAGATATTTATAGGTTTGATCTGTAGGAAAGATGCGTTCGAGTGGTGTGCATCGTGCCAATTCGTCCTCCGCTATAATTAGGCAGCGTACGTCATCGGGAGTCAACTTTTCGAGAATCGCATCGATGTACTTAAAACACACAAAAATATATTTACAAAAAACGGATAGATCATTAAAATTTTTCGTGGTATACCTCTTCGCGATGCTCCATGCTTTTCCGTGTAAAAGTGTTGTGCTTGTTTTTCTCTTCACGCGACAGATAGTTAATGTACATACGTTTATCGTAGCACATTTGTGTGCCAGCTGGGAAACTAAATTCAGCGGCTAATTCCCTTTGCTTTTCCTGGCTCAGTTTTGGTGGTATCTGCGTGTATATAGAGTATGTGATTTATATATTTATATATGGTCTATGATATTTGGTTTGCCAGCTTACATTGTAGAGGGCAGTGTTGAGTACGCCTTGGACTAGTGGCGCCTTAACGTGGGCATCCAGAGGTAATTCGGAATGTAAACTAGGTGAGATATTCACCTCAAGTAGCCAAGGTACCAGATCCGAATCTAATATTACATCAAAGCCAAACAGTTCGAAGCAACTGTATTTGGACTCAACATTTGCTCTTATCATGCTGTTAATGCCATTCTCTCCAGCTAGAATGGTGCGCAGCACCAGACTCCTCAAGGCTTCCCAGAGGCCATCGGTGCAAACACCACGATTAGCCAAATATGTCCACAACGACTTAATGGTCCACTTGTGGCCATGACATGCATTCACATCCTCATTCTTGGAGTAATTCGACGAAAATTTGTTGATGCTATAATTGGTTAAATGCATGCAGCGATCATTTAACGTATCCGCCTTGGCGCTATATTTAACTGTGAATCGGACGGCATTAAATATGATATATAGGAATAAATTGAAAGCATCTTACCAGAAGCAAAACGTGCCAGACCATTGTGATACATAAAGACTCTCAGCGGATTGACAGAGGTTACGAGAACGTAAAGGCGCAAGTCGAATTTGCTGCCGTTAATAAGTAGGGGACGTTCGATGTATCTAGTGATAAAATAAATTATTGAATATTTACAGAGCCATAGGTATTAAATCTGTTGTTCACCCACTTCTGCACAATGAGAGGTCGTCGCTTGGGTATTTGACCCCAACGATACACCACACGAATGCCGGCACCACGTGCACTTGCCGGTGGCTTTATAATCCACTTTGTGTTACGTTGGGCATATTTTGGCCAACGCTTACGCAGCGCGCAAAGATCGTTGGGTATGACATAGGTGCGTGGCATAAAGCCAAACTCCCTGTTGCTATGTTTCCTCATCTGCCTCTGCAAGTTCTTCCAGCAGGAGTCCTTACGTCCAATACGAAACGAGCCAGGCAAGTGATTTATTTTCTGATACGAGCGAATCGTTTTAAAGCAGGGCGACTTCAAGTGCTTGCCCCACACACCCATCCAGTCGTTCGTTTCTGTGATGGATAGAAATGTTCAACTCAAACTTAATAATTTCAATTCACAGCTTCAGTTATTTACTTTTCAGCATGCGCATGCCACTGTTTGCCAAGATGAGCCGAACGACTTTTGGCATTATGCTTGTCACCCGCCATTTCAAGATCCTGTGCAGCTCTGGCGGGACGTTGGGTCCTTTTTTGGTGTTCGACGAAAATGATAGATAGGGCGGCACATATGGAAAGAGACTGGAGACTAAGACGGACTCTGGATTGCAAAGGTCATCGTCGGATGACCGAGAAAAAACCAGAGTCGAAGAGTCTTTGGGTGAGGATAATAGGCGATCGCTCGAGTGCGTCAGTTTATACGCATGCGCCCTATAACCATCTTCCGTATCAGAGCTTATGCTCACTGTGTCGCTATCATCGAAATTCGAGACTGAAATCGAGTTTAAGGACAATTATATCGAATTCGCAGGTGAATAGCTAATGCAACTTACTGTTATCTAAATCATCATCGTTATCGAAATCAGCATCGCGAAAGTCGCGGTTCTTCTCCTCTGGCTCCTCCAGTACATAGTTCGTGACATGATCGGCGCCTGCAGTTTGACCTTTGGGTTGAGGGTTGGGTTGAGGCTTTACGTTTTGGCTGCGTAAATTAGACGACGGATGATGCTTACGTGCCGAGCGTGGGCTTTGACTATTGTACAAGAGGACGCGATGGACAGTGGGCAGCACCTTCTTAGCAGCTGCTTGTCCGCCTCGACCTCTCTTGGGCGTCAGCGGCAGACGGGGCAACGGCAGCGGCTCATTGGCTTTGAGTGTTTTCTTTGCTAAATTGCTTTTAATTGTCACGGACTCACCCGTATTACTTATTTCGTGTATATCGCCCAGTTTGACGCATCGGCGCGGAGTTGGTATAGTTTCATTGATATACTGTTCATCGCAGAGAGGCGTTGGCTCGTAGATATCTTTAGCATTAACTATTTTAATTGCAGATTTCTCCATTCCATCGATGGGGAAGTCTATCCAATCACTATCATTATAGCCAAATGGCAGCTCATTGTTCTCCTTCAGTAAATAACTATCGTATTCTATATTTTGATTATTATCATTGTGGGCTCCGGACCTTCTCGACGAGCGTTTACCCGTTGTCTCCTGTACTAAGCTCATTGGTGTTTGATACGAACGTATCGTATTTGTTTTTGATTTGTGCAACTTCTCTGGGCCACGATTGTAAAAATACGAAAAATAATGCTCGTAGTGCTGATCTGCTGACTGAAAGCGTTGACGATCAGGGCTAACAAGAAAAAAAAGATTCATTATTTTAAGTAAAGATTACTGTAAATGCAACAAATAAAATGCAATTGAAAAGGTTGGCGGTATGCGTGTGTGTGTAAAAATCATAAATTACAGCTAATATACTAATAATAATGACTACAATGTGTGTCTACAATTAAAAAGTAAATAAATAAATATATAAGGATATACAAGCATTGGGTTTTAGGATTGCCTTTGCAGAATTACATCATATTATCCCAGTTTAGGTCTGCGGCCGCAGATCTATGGCTGTGGGAGTACGTCGAATCGTCATCCAAATATTCGCAGGTACTTCGGGACGTTAGCTGCCTCTTGAGTTGATCCTTTTCAAGGGATGCCTGTGTATAGCGTGCCAATTCGTGATTGTTGGGCGCGCTATTACTGTGCCCATATCCATGTCGCGCCTTTTGCTGGACGGGTGCCTTATAATACTCTGCGGGCTGTTGACGTAGTGGCTGGTAGGCGTGGCTATTGTTGTTGGCCGCCGACGTCGTCGTCGTCTTGCGCGGTGCAAACGAATTGGGGTATGCATTGGAATACGGTCCTTGTTCCGATACAGGTACTGCATAGTAGGATTTATTTATTTGTCTTGACACTTTCGTAGTTTTCGCTGGACTACGGTTGGATGCACGGATGGGGCTCTTTAAATTCCAGATCGGACTACTGACACTCCCGTTCTTAAAGTATGTAAATGCATTGTCATTATTGCAATGTCTCAAATTGTGCTCATTGTTGATAATTCCGTTGCTATTGTTGTTGTTGTGATTGCGGTTGTTGCTGCTATTAATTCCGTTGTCATTCAAATATTGATTGGACTGGTGCATCTCGGGCGATTTTCCATAAACTTCTGAAGCGTTATACATGAACATACTATTTATGTCTTAATCAAGCTACAGCAAAACACGTATATGTATACAGACACGCACACACACACACACACACACACACACACAAGAACGCACCTGAATAAGGAGAGATGAGAGGCAGAGCCAAAGAGAAGAAAGAGAGGGCGAAATAGAGAGAAGTGCACAAAAGTTGTAATATCTGATTACAAGTAAATATTTATATATAAGCCACGCTATCATATATACGGTTCCATAAATAATTTAAATTATATATAAACACTTATATCATATTCCTCAATTCTAATTTGATGATATTAAGCTCAATCAGTAATCAAGAACTATTCTAAATAGAATTGAATCAGATATAGTATAGCGCTGTCATACAAAGAAATTAATTAAACTTATTTGAAAATAACTAAATATTGTCTACGAAAACTCTTCAAACCCTCCTCGTAATGCCAGAGTCTTCAGTTTTATGTATTGAAATTCGAAAATATACATATTGTAATTGGCTGCGAAAACCATCAAAATATGTGGAACAAAACTATTCTCCATTTTTTCAATTTATTTTATATATATGTATATATTTAAAAAAAATTTCCGTCAATTCAAGTATTTCAGTACTACAATTTAAATTAATTTTATAAACTCCCCTCGCACAGTTATGGTACAGCCTCAACTAATGTAAACGGAACAGATTTATTTATTATTACTCAACATAAACACACGGTGAAATGTAGAAGTCCGATTATACACAATATTTTAAAACTTAAACTTACCGCTTTCAAATTCTGATGACCTTCACGTCTTTTTTTATCGCTTTATGGTTTGTGCTACTTTTTGCAAGTAGGTATCAGCTGGTTGTATAGGGGGTTGTTGAATTTAGGTCACAAACATGTCCTCAGACAAGGTGTTGTAACTCCTTTGCACACTATTTTGCTGCGGGTCTCTTTTATAGGGGCAATCACTAAATTTCCAATAGCAAATAAATCGTTGGGACTTGGATGTTAAGTCTAAATCTCAACGTTGTACAAAAGGAATGCTTTTTAAGAATTTTTGTTTATTTTTTTTTTTAAGTTGTTGAATGCCGAACAAACGCACAATAACTGTTTTTAACCGCTGTTTAAAACTTTATTCCTTGTTGCCAAATCGAAGTAAATTTGTTAAATTTGTATACGTAGGTGTTTAACTATGTGTGTATTAAATGTGCCTTATAACTATGAAATATTGTATTTTAATTTTGATGTAAATATCAATTGTAGATAGAGCAAACAAAACAAAACACACTCAAAACCTGCTGCAACCTCAACACGTGTAGTTCAGTTGTGAACTATAAATGTGGTTCTTTGCTCCGAACAGTGTATAATTGCAAGAAAGAACAAGAATAGTTCACTGCTGTTAATTTAACATTTTATTAACAGCGAGCCCGTTTGATTTTCACCACATATGTATGTATGTAAAATGAATTTTTTATTTGATTATTATTGTTATTTTATAGATTGCTAATTTTTAATAATGAAAATTCAAATTTTCTTTTATGAAATAAGTTATATTAAGTCTAATTGCTGACAACTGTATTTGAATTGAAGAGCCTACATTATATTAAATTAATCATCCTTACACTATGCATATAATACATTTTAGTTGCTAGAAAAATGTGTTTTAATAAATTCGTTTCGATTGCGTTGCTCCTCGCTTATCGTAGCACCGTTGGCATAGCAAAAAATGTTAGGTTTGTATATGGGTAGAGAAATGTCAGAATCTAAAAAAACAAAATTATTTTTATATTATTACACAACTTAAACTGTGATTTAAGGGAAATACCTATGGAAGGATCATTCCACTCCATTGCCATATTATGAAGTAGTGCCAAAGCGGTTATTGTATGCTTTGCTGAGCCAAATGTCCCTAAGAGTTCTCTACTGAGAATTCCGAAGCGGCGTATCCAATAGTTTAGACACTTGACTGCCGGCGCATAGGTTACAGAATGGGCTTGATTATAGAGATCCTCGGATTTATTTTTAGGGTTTCGAACTGGTGTAAAGAGGAAGTGGGAGCAAGAGAGCGATTCATTGCCAAGCAGTATGCGACCACGGAACTCATTTTGTTCAAATCGTTCCTTGATCCGTGATAACGAAAACAATTCTGGCGCTGTGTTGTGACCTAGTTCCTCAGGGAGACGTATATCCAAATCCCTAATCTTATGCTCGGCATCTGCCACCAGCTGCAAATGAACAAGTTCCTCATTTGTAGCAGCTAGCTCGGTTCCACTATAGCCACCCCTATTTTCCAACTGTAACCGCACAGTGGTTTGCACTACTGCGCCAATTACTTGGGGCATATTGGAAAGGTATTGAAATGAACGCATCATTCGTTCCTTTTCGGACAGGGTTGCGGGCATCCGGATATAACGCGACGCTTTTGATGATAACACGGCAGCCACACGACGTGTTATCTTGGCCATTGTATGCAAGCTAACACCATGGGCCATAGCCGTAAGCTGTGGATGCTGGAATAGAGACGAATGTAGATATGTATTTATTTACATATGTATGTATGTATATATGCATGTACCTCAGTGCCGCCGAAAAATCGAATGGCCGACAAAATTTGCAAGTCTATTGGGACTTGATTTCTTTTCATTGGTTCATAATAGTCAACTTCTAAGTCATCTCGAACGATTTCTATAATCCGTCTCATATTTTCTTTTGTGTATCGGTATTTTTTTCTAAATTCTATTTCATTCATTTCTTCCATTGGGTTGAAACGCGGACGTCTGGGTTTTACTTTACATATTTGTCTTCTTTTATTTCTATTGATTCTACTGTGATCCAAATGTTTAAAGTACTCAAAATCCCTTAAATGCCTTACATCTTTGAGAAAACGTTGAAATATTTTAATATCATCCATTTTAGATGGATGTTAATTTGTTTGTTGATTTTGACTATTTCCTTCGGTTTGCGCTTTTTCTTAATTTGGAAGAAGAAGCAGAATTATGTTATGAGAATTATGAGTATCTGTAAACATAACATGTTGAAACCATGTTATTAACAGGAGCAAACCAATTCCCTAAACTAGGAAAAACTGTTATTGTTTCCGAAATTTATGCATTTAAATTTATTAAAAATAAATTTACATATCTATGCAACTACCATTAATTATTAATTTTAATGCAAAATAATTGATGGTATTATCATTGCTCACGATTGAGTGATAGTAGGTTATTCAAAGTGAACAGATGATTTGACAGCGTGACGTCATTTTCAGAAAACGCTGGGCGCGCGTTTGAATTTGTATGAGAATCAAGTAATTTTGGCATGAATGTGTAGGTAAATTGGCATAAATAAACAATGCCGATGACGAAAACCCAGTTAACTATGTTCATCAATCATTCCTGCTGGCATATTGGCCATTTTGGCCATATCATTGCTGCTTTCGAGAGGCCTCTCAGTTCAATTATATACTTAGTTTCTTTATTGTATGGTAATAAAATTAGTGAATGACCATTTTTAAGCTATTTACTATTGAAATTAGCTTATATATACTGAAAATGTGACGTCACAAGAGAGCTGTTAGTTAACATTAAAAGTAACGGGACTGCTCTTTGCGCAACCTCCTGTGTCTTTTAACAGTGATCATTGCTCATATGTGTAATCGAAAACTTCATGTATCGGAATCGTGCTTCGGTGGGTAGGACAATCTTAAAATCGAAGCTAACATTATGATCGATTAGTATTATCAGTTTTAGGAATTAAAGCACCAAACCATTCGGATCTCAAGTGTTCTGGCGAAAGGGTCTCGAGATCCTAATATCGTAGTATTTTTGTAATAAAAATAAAATAAAGTCCGCCATGGGTGATCAAGAACGGGGTCGTCGCCGTCCCTTAAATGATTCCGACATTAGTCCTGAATCGGTACAACAGCCGGTAAGTTTTTTGCAAGCTTTAAACTTGCAATATAAACATTATATATATATATATACATATGTATGTATTTAAAATGAACAAATTTGAGTGTATACATAAATCCAAAGCAAGCCATATATATGTATGTATGCAAATACTTTTGTACTCACACATATACAACCACACAAGCGCGATCGCGTCTTCATTACTCGCTCGAAATTCCGTTATCTGCACTCGGACTCAAAAGCATAAAGTTGAGCCACTTGAGTAAAATTTGCTGATGCGACTATTTTACAGTTGTATGTGTGCATACTCGCTTGTGGAAAATATTGTAATACGATAATATAGCGTCCTTAAAAAAAATTTATGTACATATATGTATGTAATATATATTTTTAAATCGCAGAAAATTAAGAGCTCCGTCAAAACAGAAGATAATTTTATTTAGAAATTTAATTTCGTTTCGGTAAGCGTAAGCTCCTAAAAACTGCATACATACATATATATTATTTACAAAATTTACATTTAGAACAAATTTCATGTGTTTAATAAATTTGCTAGATTTTCAAAAACATTAAGAAACTTAACATTTTGTAATCAAATAGTGAACTTGAAAATAAAAACTTGAGACATGATTTATATACTTTGTATCGTACTGTATTGATGCGCTTATACGCTTACTTTCTCAAAATAAAAATTGTTTATATTTATAAAAGGTTAAAAAGAGGCGGCAGAAGTTTGCGTACACTTCAATTCTGCTGCGTACAATCACTGACCAGTGGTACAATGAGGAAAATCGTAACAACCGTTTGATTTTTTCATTTTTACTCTCCCGTATTCTTCTACGTTGTTCTACTCACGTATTCAATTCATATAAAAACAAACGCGTGGTGTACTGTGAAGAAAAGACAATTGAAGTAAAGAGTTTTATAACGAAATAATAACAAATTTCAGCATAAAAAGGCGCTGCTAAAAATATATATATTTATCTATTTATCAATGATCAGTACCCTCACTTGTGTGCGTAACAGCGACACAAATGCTACTAAGACAGAGAGAGAGAGACAATCTGCAATGCCTATGTCACAAAAATGTTTCTATACCATATTTTTGAAATAAATTGATTTTGTTTTGATTAAAAAATTAAAAAAGCTCCTGGTTAAAGCGTCTTCCGGGTATAGCGACGTAAAATCGTCGGTCCCTTGAGTATATATTATATATATATATATATATATACACAGAGAGTTTTGAGTGTGCTTCGTCTTTGATTTTGAAACCAACGATTTTTTTTATATCACAAATTATCGAAACTTATCGAAACTTTCACCTATCGCATGAAAAAGCCAAAGCTGCCAGACTGGGCATAAAAAGCATATACTTCATTTAATCAATTTAACGGTAATTTGATGATCCGCCCTAAAAAAAATAATTAAACTGTAACTGTAATAATAGTTGTGTAATAATGTGGGATAATTCGTATTGATAATTATTTCTCAATAATGACATTTTAAAATAGCGCCCCAAGATATTTCGTGGGGATGGTTTTAAATCAGATGATAGAGATAGATCGGAGGCTTCGTCCTCGCGTGGGACTTCTAGGTCCCATGCACCCTCAACATCTCATGCAGCATCGACATCCTACGCAGCTACGACATTACATGCAGCGTCGACATCCCACGCAGCTAGCGCATCCCGTGGCTCTCGTGATCTGGTCGGACCTACATCATCTCACCCTAGTGGACCTGGCGGACACAAATCCGATCGCAGACCCATTGATCGTTTTGAAATTGTTAATACAAGACCAGCCGATGTGGTCACAAAACAAGGCTCAGATGGCAAGCAAATTAAGTTGCTATCAAACTATTTCCGTTTGAATACGAAGCCACAATGGCGCATTGTTCACTATCATGTGGATTTTGCTCCAGAGATCGAGCTAGTGCGTGTGCGCTGCGGCGTGCTATCCGAACATGCAAAAAGCTTTGGTACAGGCTACCTATTTGATGGTAATCAGCTCTTTACCACCAAGAAATTCGACAAAGATGTTACTGTGCTGCAGGCCACTTCAAAGCAGGGTGTCAATTACACAATTACCATCAAGTGCGTGGGTTATATATCGACGGCTGAGCCACGATTTCTACAAGTCTTAAATTTGATATTGCGTCGCTCAATGAAGGGTCTCAATTTGGAGCAAGTCGGACGCAATCTCTTTGATCCCCATGCACGAGTAAGTTATTAATGAATTGCCAATCGACTTTCTAAAGAAGAAAACTAAACTACTACAAATTTAAGGTTTCTTTGGGTGAGTTCTCGATTGAACTTTGGCCTGGATACGAAACCTCAATTCGACAGCACGAGAAGGACATCTTAGTTTGCGCCGAGATTACACATAAGGTAATGCGCAGAGAAACCGTTTACGATATACTACGCCGGACATCGAGCAAACCTGAACGGCATCAGGAAGAGTTTCGCCTGAATGTACTTGGATTAATAGTTCTCACGGACTATAATAATAAAACTTATCGCATTAACGATGTCGACTTTACACAAACTCCACGTGCCACATTTAGCTGCAAGGGAAATGATGTTAGTTTTATAGAATACTATCTAAAGGTAAGAATAGCAAATAAGAAAATGTGGATTTCATCCTTAAATAAATAAATATATGTTTGTTAGAAATACAATATTCGCATAAGGGATCACGATCAGCCCCTGCTAATATCTAAAAATAGGGACAAAGCTCAAAAAAGTAACGCCAATGAAATTGTAATCCTTATTCCCGAGCTCTGTCGCGTTACTGGACTCACGGATAATATGCGTTCCAATAATAAGTAAGTCTTTGTAGATAAGTATTAATAAAATTCTTGAATGAATGTATTTCAATTTATTCACAGTCTCATGCGTGCTATGTCGAATCATACACGAATGAATCCCGAAAGACGTATTGAACGTTTGAAAACGTTCAACAGAAGATTGCATACAACAGCGGAAAGTGTGAAGGTGTTGACCGATTGGAATATGAAACTGGATGAAAAACTTATCGAAGTCCAAGGGCGTGTACTTTTACCACAAAAGATTGTATTCAATGATAATGCACGGTTAGGGTTTTGTAATTTAAAATTCAGGGCTGTCAATTAAAATAATCTTCCTTTACATAGATTATCTGCTGGAGACTCTGCTGACTGGACTCGGCACTTTCGTAATCAACGGATGTTGACAACGCCTAGAAGTGGGTTGGATCGATGGGCTGTAATTGCACCGAAACGTTGTTCATCTGAATTGAGAACTCTGCTATCAAATCTGAATCGTGCTGCAATGGGGATGGGCTTTCATATTAGTTGTCCTAGAGAGTAACTAGATATACATCTACGTATTGATATTTTGTTTACAGCATATTCTCATTTGCTTTCAGAGTTATGATCTATGATGATCGCACAAGCAGCTATATTCAAGCTCTGGACGATTGTGCGACAAAAGATCCAAAACTAATTCTATGTTTTGTTCCAAGCGACAGTCCTGAAAGGTATGATTTACATAACGTTAATTTTTACTCTTACAGAACTTAAATAGATATATGACTATATTCTGTTTAGGTACTCAGCGATAAAGAAGAGAGGCTGTGTAGATAGGGCTGTACCCACACAAGTCGTAACCAAGAGGTGTAACAAAAATGGCTTGAGTGTAGCCACCAAAATTGCAATACAAATGAATTGCAAAATCGGCTATACCCCTTGGATGATCGAGCTGCCTTTGTCGGGCTTAATGACGATGGGATTTGATATAGCCAAATGCTCGAGCAATCGGAACAAAGCATATGGAGCATTGGTGGCCTCAATGGATTTACAGCGAAATGCGACTTTCTTTAGCACAGTCGCTGAGTGCAGTGCCTATGATGTTCTGGCCAATAATTTGTGGCCAATGATATTGAAAGCTTTGAGGCAATATCAACTGGAGCATCAGAAATTACCCAATCGTATTGTGTTTTATCGCGATGGGGTTAGTTCGGGATCCTTGAGACAATTATTCGAGTATGAGGTCAAAGATGTTGTCGAGAAGCTTAACCTTGAATACAAGAAGGTGTCATCAACTCCTCCGATGCTCGCATACATTGTGGTCACAAAATCATCCAATACACGATTCTTCCTCGACAATAGAAGCAATCCACCACCAGGGACTGTCGTTGACGACGTGGTCACGTTGCCCGAACGTTATGATTTTTACCTTGTGTCGCAGACGGTGCGTCAGGGCACAGTGTCGCCAACTAATTACAATGTACTATATAGCAACATTGGCCTTAGTCCCGATAAGGTGCAAAAGCTAACGTACAAAATGTGCCATTTGTACTACAACTGGTCGGGCACCACTCGGGTGCCAGCTGTTTGCCAATATGCTAAGAAACTGGCTACGCTTGTTGGTTCTCATCTGCATGCTATACCGCAGAATGCACTAGAGAAGAAATTCTACTATCTTTAACTTTCATTATGTTAACCAGCATTGAATTATTAGAGGTAATGTTGTGTTTAAGTCCTACTAATTTTTTAATTTCTATTACGATTTTTATCAAGAATTGATACTTAAATTGTATTTTTGAAAAGTTTATGTTCAAATTATTGTTTCAAATTAAGTTTATTCATCCAAGGATGTTACTAACACTCCATCAAGAACACATCTAATTATTCAGACATTTAAGTGAATACAATAAATTGAAATTGAGCAAACGAAATTAAGTTATTTTTCTGACAGCCCAAAAATAGTTTGACTACATTCATATGGCTGACTGGAACTATTTGATTAGCTGCAAATGTTTCCTTTTTTCTATTATGTGGAGCTTCTGGCTGCTGTAATTCAGATGGTTGGGATATTGTGTTAAATATTTTAAGCACACTTGAATCTCCTCAGTTTACACGATATTATGTTATACAAGCGGAAAAATTGTCGAACTATGGCGTCTTTTAAAGTAGCATTGAATCGCAAAATTATGAATACATTTAATTTTGAAATTTTATTCGTTTACATACATAATCGTTAGGGATGACAATTCATTTGTCATTCGCTAAGTTTTCGTAACTGTAAATTTAGACTTTGTAGCCAACGAGGTGACGCTTGCCGATGCACTCGCCAATGTAGAACCAGAAGATAACCTCGGCGGTGACAAGGGTGTTAAGCCATGCTTCCCTGACCGATAGGTTCTTGTAAGATCCGGTCTTTGCACCCTTGATTATATTGCCAATGCTTTGGCGAATAGCTGGAATATCGGCTGGAGTTGGTGGAGTTAGTTCCACTTTGGCGTATTTCAGAAAGACGTCCAACTGTGGTCTTGCTTGCACAAGCAGCCCTGTTATAATGAAACATTACATAAGTTCCGACATTTGCAAAATATTGCAAAAACTCTGCGGGAGTAATGAACTTACTGTTAATGAGACTGGATCCTTTTGTCGCAACGCCAGCCATTGTATTTGAATCTAAAAACAATAAGTAATTTATGTATTTCGCGGCTACAAAATTTTGCAGTTATATGTGGAAACCTTACGTCTTAAGAATGCAATGAAACAGGGTCGTTCTGCTCGTTCATTATTGCGATATGTTATCGATAACTATCAGACATTAAAATGAAAATGTATACATGTATACATATATATATATAAACATATGCTATATTTTAAATTATTTTTATTTATATAATTAATTCGATAATACTTTTAACTTAGTTTTAAATTTTTACAAGTGAACAATTATTGATTAAATGTATCGAGACGCAACTCTGTAATTCCAACTTGAAATTTTGACCCATCTATTCGATTGCACATCGATTAATCCAGTGTTAATGCAATTGTGCACCACTACAATAAAGGTGTGGAAATCCAAAAATTTACAAAGAAGTGAAAAAGTAAAAATATACATATTGAGTGTAAAGTATAAAGCATTTAACTTTCACAAATTGCATTAAGATATTTGAATTGTATGTTACCGCTAAGGCCTAATCCAATATTGCTGTGCAGTGAGTGAAAAGTGTGCGTGACGTGAGGTGAGTTGAGAGGGGATGACGGAGACCAAATGAAATTTAGTGCTATCTAGTTTAACGACTTGCCACTGTGCAAAGGAAATTGATAATTTTTGAAAGTAATATACAATTTAGTGCGCGCGTATGAGTCTGTGTGTGTGTGCGAATTTTAATCCAAATGTTTTGTGTGTAGCCTTCCTTTGACAACTACGTATGTGTGTATAATATATGTATGAATGTACATGCATGTGCACAAACACACACTGAGACATATTGACAACTTGGGCTCCAGTTGGCATTAAAGCAACAACTTTTTTTTTTTGGTGGCAGTGACGAATGATAAAAGCAACTAAAGCGTTCGCAAGCAGTTGCGATTATAAGACTCTATTATGTATATGCTTAAGGAGTGAGTGCTTGTTGTGGGCTTATCACACTTTCGGTTCATATCTGGTGGGTGTGGTCCACGCCAAATGACGATTGGCTCTTTTAGCTGGCAAATTTACAATTGAATACACTTTAAAGTTCTCAGACACGCACATAAGCACACACACACACATAAGAGGGTGTTTTGGCCTGTGCAAAACACCTTGGGCCGGTGTTAAAGCGAATCATGAATCGTGCAGTAAATAGTGTATGACAAATAACGTTATATACTTTTTTTTTTATAATGTTCATATACACATATATATATATTATCATATGAAGGTCTGGTTATATGAAGATTAAGTTTAAGAAATATTTATAGTAAATTTAATATCCGGTTATTTGGTTTAGACAATTGATCTTGTCAATCACACTTAATTTTAAATATAAAATAAAACAAAAGTTTTTCCATCTCGTAGTTGTTCTCTATCAATTTCGCCTCAGTTGCAGTTAAGAAACTTGGTTAAATCTATGGAGCGTAACGAACTAAAAGAAAAGCTTGCGTGCAATAAGCCCGGACTGCACTTCTGGTTACGAACAAAGGGGCGGATTTTTCGTGTAACTTAGCGGAATTAAAGTAAAAAAAAGAATTAGAACTTGTTTATCTCAGTGCCAGGTGAACACGTGCCGTCATTAAGAAATATGCACAAATTTAATTACTTTGACGGAGACACGACTGTTAGCAACCACACTTGAAATCTACTATAAATAAAAATAACTGTTATGTATGTTATATATACACATTTACAACTGCGTTCATAAATACAAAAGTGCGACTGATAATCAAATGTTGTAGAGAATACTTTAGTGATAAACGAATAATAATTTAAAACTAATTTAGTAATAACTAATATGTGTATTTTCTTTTAATTTTGCAGTCGATGAAAAGGCATTAGCCGAAGCCAAAGCTGCTTAGTTGTAGGACTTTTGCGGATCTAGCAGATAAACATGCCGTTGCCCAAGCGATCCATAGAGCCCGTGCATGTCGCGCGATCCGTTTACCAGCAGGATGAGCTGCAGTCCGTGGAATTGGAGACAGTCACAAATACCACTCTCACAAACATAATACGGCAATTGTCGTCGCTCTCGAAACATGCGGAGGACGTATTTGGCGAACTAGCGCGGGATGTGGGCAACATTGGAGACCGAGCCAATTCGTTGCAGGCGCGAATTGATCGGTTGGCTATAAAGGTGACCCAGCTGGACAGCACCGTGGAGGAAGTGCCTCTCACAGATATAACACGCAAGAAGGCGTTCAAGTCGGCGAAGGTATTCGATCAGCAGATCTTCTCACGGTCCACAATGCCCGCCCTCATGCTGGAGACGTATGCCCAGTGCGACAAGCCACCGCCGCTGGATAAGCTCAATGTCTATCGTGATGATGGCAAGGACGGGCTCAAGTTCTACACGGATCCCGATTACTTCTTCGAGCTGTGGCGACAAGAGATGATCAAGGATACGGAGCGCGTAATGCACGACAAGGGCAAGAAGACGCATCGACCACGACAAGAAGGCGCTGGTGGCGGCCAAAACAACCGTCACAACAAACGTGTTCGAACTCCGCATAATACGCGCGAGAAACAGCGACAAATCGCCTTGGGCCATGGCGAAACTCTGATGCCCAACAATGTTATCTATCGCACGCCCAACGCAATGCCAAATGAAGAGGCCGGATATGGCAGTAAGTAGACGTGTTTTCCATAAATAACATCGGGCGTAGGTGTAGGCGCTTAGGTCAAAAAATCAGAATCTGAAAGAACAGTCTCAGAAAGACTTGCATTTATTTGCTGCACTACTACCATGTCAATTGTAGCATAAAGTAGCTTGAAATGTTCGATATGTTAACGGCCACTGTTACGTTGTCTAACATGTCAAGGAAATGGTATTGTGTGAATGAAATGTTACTTAACAGTGGGTGCATCTATTGAACGTTGTACTGAAAAGTGTGTGATCAGAGCATTGCGTATTTGCTACGTACTTGTTCTAATTATACCCACATCGTATTAATCATGTTGATTAACGCCCAATTACTGTATGCACATATAGCTCAGCTAATCGAAATCCAAACTGTAAACGCTGATTGCGATATTCAGCTGGGAACGCTGGCACGTCGAAGGCCAGCCAGGCCCGTACAACAACAGCCGGCGAATATCGATGGTGTATATCAAGTAGGTACGGTACATTAGAGCCCCGCAGATCGAAGCTTGAAACTCAAAACGTCACCGACTGCGCGCATTTCTTGGCTTTCGTTTTGGTTTTAATATTCACAAAATGTTAATCCAAATTTGTATGTACCTTAAAGAGTTTTCATGTAATTTGAATTTCCTGCAATCGCTTGCTACTTGCAAAGCTTGCCAAGAGCTTCCAAATCGATATGATTCATTCATTTGTACATTTTTCAAAACATCAGTTTCAGTATAGAGTACATTATTATTCTTCTTCTCCTGATCACTTCATCTATCTAGCATCATTATAGAATTAAAGACGACTATTCTTATACTCCAGATCAACTAATGGCACAATAATAATGCAATTTAACAAATCAAGATATTGTTAAGCGCGAGTCTTAACATGCACTGTATATGTTACAAAATGCTGTTAGCAAATGGCGAGTCTTTGCATTTATAATTATTGTTAATTAACAGATAGTGCTGATGTTAAAGCCGATTCTTAACATACGCTGCAGATGTTACTTAAGTTTTAAATGAATCTTAACAGACACGTAGATGGTATTTAAATTACCACGACAAGTTAAGGACATGATTACGACTTTTAGAAGACGCTGTACATATGTTATGCAACATACCATGCAAATGATAATAACAACTCTCAATATTCGATGCATATGTTATTTAATATAGTAACCAAATACTAATGAAATTTGCGATAAATGTTAATTAGCTTATCAAGCTTATGTTAATTACACGTCTTAACATACACTTTATATGTTAATTAACAAATCAAGAAAATGCAAATGTTGACTCTTAACACTGTACACCCACTGTAACTAATCTTCAGTGTTAACGATGGCTGCTAGCATACACTGCAAAGACTTGGCAAACAATGTAAAAGAAAATACGTAGCCAAGCTACTGTTAATTTCGAAACTGTTAACACAAATGCATCAGTTGCGGTTATTATTATTGGCTCAATGTAATACATAAATTTATAATCCGCTGTTAGCTGTCCTGATTTTCTAAAATCTTTGCTTTGAAGCAATAATATAACAATTGATTAATATTGTGCATGCATACCAAATGCAATACATTAAATAGACCTTTCAATCGATGGAGCTCTCTCGAAAGGAACGAAGCTCAGACATTATCATAGCTAAGAACCCAATTGAATCGATTCATTATTGAATCTGTTTATATATGTTTTAACCTCATTTGTTGTTGTAACTATATAGTCTGTGTATACATATTTGTACTTTAAGTAGTTTAAACGAAACACCGCATGATCATCTCATTTCCAGATTCTGTTAAGCCCTATAATATGCTCTCACATTTGGAGAATAACAGTAATCTAGCAAAACAAACGGCTATCGCTATAACAGGTCAGCTCAACAGATTAAATACGAAACACAACTAAATCGATTGTGTTTGTATGTATAAATGTTCCTTCATCTACTTCTATCGTATCTAACTACTATCACTTGCCACTTTAGTCTCCCTTTATGTACTTATCTTTCCTTTGTGTACATTCCGTGTGTACTTAGCTTGCTCTGTCTAGGCATTTTGATTATAGGTTCCGCAGATATACAGCAACAACAACAACAACAACAGCATTAACGATAAATATGATAAAAGCACCATGTATGAACATTTATAATTTTATTCAGGATTGATATCCAATCAACCTAAATAGGAAAAAGCAAAAAATTATGCTCTACTACTGTTACTAAGCTGTTGTGGATAGCAATCGCTTAATAATAGTAGTCGAAGATCACCCATTGGCCAAGCAGTTGCAAAATCTGAAATTCATTAGAGAACTATAAACATGAACACGCCGTAGGCTCCCATAGCTAGCCACTATTAGCATTAAGTTTTTTCTAGAACTCCCTCTAATCCTACACTCAAATTTGCATATAAATTCCCCACCTTCCTGCCCAGGAGCTTAGCTGGGCATATTAGCTATTCTATTTAATGGAATAACTTTCTAATTCTGCCATTTTTCTTTCTTTTTACACTCATAAGGCTCAAAGGGGGCTGGGAATAGCGCAAAAAACAGAATCGGCATTTAGATGTAATTGAAATTTGTTTTAAAATATATTTAGCAACTTTTCAAAGCATTGCTTCAATGCTAACAATCCCAGCCTTACTTCTTGGTCTTATCTAGTTAACGCACTTTAATTGACCCTGTGCGTTAATCATTTTGACTAATTTTAATTAATACGCAGCTCATTTTATTCGCAGACTCGCATACATACAGACTTTGCTTGCAATTATTTGTTCTCTTTTGCAATTTTATGTGTATTCTTAATACGTTTTATCCGTTTTATCATTGGAGTTTCTCGTTTTGATATATTTTATTTATTATATATGTTTTCTTTGTCGATTCCCAACCGAGCTTACTAATAATAATTTTGGGTTACTTTCCAGACATGGGCATCTACGACAGTCGCCCCCTGCGGCCCAATTCAATTGAGCTGCGGCGCAGCTACCAGTCGGAGCAGATCGATGGCAGTGGCTACGAGCCACTCACGCCACAGACAGCGGCGAATCAATATGCGGCTGCGTACGGCACCAATGGCATCTCGGCAGCGTCGCACATGCACATGCAGCAGCAGCAGCAACAGCAACAACAGCTGTACGACAGCTCACTTTACCATCAGTCGCATGGAATCTATGGGCAGAGCGGGCAGGGCGCAATGTCGCCGGAGCAGATCTATGGACCGGGGACGCCATCGCGCACCAAGCCACGACCATCGCAGCCGCCACCAGCGCCACCATCGAATGGCAGTGGCGGCGGCACGCCCACTGCATCGAATGCAAATACGCCCACGCGCGGACGCAGCATGTCGACGAGTCGGGACGCGTTGCCACCGCCGCCGCCAGTGCCGGATGTGGTGTCGCCGATGTCGGGCATGAACGGCATGGCCAGCGGTCATATGGCAGCTAAGCTACTGGGCCGCACGAACAGCACATCGCGAGCTGGCTCTCCGCAGATGGCGCCCAGCAACAGTGCCCATAATGCCAACGATATGGTCATGGCGCAGCTGAGCAACACTTTCAATAGCATGGGCATCACAAACAGCAATCAGCTGAACTCGTTGAGCGATTTTCCCCCGCCGCCTCCAGTGCCCGATCAGGTGGGTGTACACTATAGATCAGCCATGCTAGATTTGTCATATATCACGGCTTACTTTCTCTCTTTCAGCACTCACCAAAAATGTCGCCACCCAATGTAGCGCCACCGCCACCGCCACCACCACCGCCAGTGGAGGAGGGTGGTCTCGGTGCAGTACAAATGCAGTCGCATCCACACCAAATTATGCCCAAGGCATTGGCCAATGGGGAACTACAGCTTTGCCAGCCAAATGGCGGCTCACACATTGTGAGTGCTAAAAAGATACAGGCGCCATTCCACGATCCACGCAACGATTTGATGAAAGCTATTCGAGATGGTAACATAATGGAACTTACAGGGCCTTCAGGACTCTCCTAAATAATAAATATATTCCATTACAGGCATTATATTGCGGAAGGTAGAAAAGTCGGAGTTGAAGGAAATTGAACGCAATACGGCAATGTTGGATGTGGCATCGATTTTGGCCAGGCGAGTGGCCATTGAGCTGTCGGAGTCGGAAGATTCCGACAGTGAAGATGACAGCGAGGGTTGGATGGAAACCAATGAAACCTCTGCTTGATCCCTGATGGCTTCGGTTAAGCCGGATAAAATTGCTAAAAACAAGAAGAAAAAGTAATTCCAAAGAAAACTGTTGCAGGACGTGTTATGATTGGACACCCAGTTGGATTACTACAAAGCGCCAAAGCTTTTTTTTACCATACCTTATAAAAGTATCCCGATATGCGTACATACCTATCTACTATATACTAAACGTTAAATCAAAATTTAAATCGAATTGTACATATTTACACGCATATATACACATACCAAGAGTAATTATGGATATATATATATATACACACACAGCTATATGTAATATGAGATCTTTTTTGATTTCAATTAACATATTTATATTATATATAAAGCTATTTGTATGGATTCATATTCGTAACATGGCTAAGCCTAAGCCTCGTGAGGGAATAATACTCGTGTCGTTGATGCAGGATGCCAATAAGGATAATTATTGCTAAATCTTGTCTTCAATTCTTTTCCATGCGCGCCATTCTCCGACGTCAAGGATGTGATGTGGTGTGGGCGTGGACTGGAAGAGCGCAAATTGGAAATCGAAAGAAAGAAATAAAATAGAGTAGATGATATAGACTTGCTTTTTTGGATATTAAACCGATATATCAACACTATAGAACTCGAATACAAAAACGATAATTAACAATAAACAAAATGACAATTGAAAAGTTTGTAAATATAGGAATTAATTGAATCGTATAACTCCAAGCAAAGTCGAAAGCATTTTACACACACGCTATGAAATTGCAATATATAAAGTATATACCGTTAATCTTACATACATATGCAAGTATATAAATATTTTCTAAATAATAACCTATACTGAAACACTCTAATGAAAAGGTACGCGAACGTGTATAATTATTAATTTTTGTTTGAAAAGCTTATTAAACAGTATAATGGATATGCATATGTAATAATTGTTGTATATTTTATCTAATTTAAAATAAAACTATTCCAATTAAAACAAGCTAAGGCTAGTGCTTCCTTCAAACGGCAATAGTTGACATCTATGACATAAAATGTACATTTATTTTCAGTTAATCAGTTGGAAATGTTTCACACACACACATGCATGCCCATCCACACACTTGTACCCCCGCTCAAGCACACATCCCCACTCACATACACACACCTATAATTTTCAACTGTAAATGCTGCTTCACTCGTCAAGCGTCTCCATTGGAGTCTTCTCCCGGGCCGGCGGATTCCCATTCAGCTTGTCGTGTATAGTGATCGGCATCTGGACACCCTCCTGGGACTCGCGCTTCGGCGTGTTCATCTTGTGTTGACTGGAGAAGCTCACGCTAATGCGTCCATTGCCACGCACTGCTGACATCGCGAGGGGTGGTTGATATCGCACCACCGGCGTCGCCTGGCGCACGTCCACTGCCGGCTGCTGTTTGTTGTTGCCGTTGTCAGCGGAGTTGTTGCCATGCAGCGAGCTGTTGGGCTTGACATGTGTTTCCTTACGCACGCCCACCATGAGTGCCTCCTGGCGCGAGGTCTCCTGGAACTTCTTGACGCGATCCCTAATGTCGCCCTCACGCTTGACTTCCTTCTCGATTTCGGCGCGGCGCTTGTGCTCGTAGCGCTCCGAAGCCATCTCGTCACGTTTCTTGTTGCGTTCCACGATCAGATCGGCGATTTCCAGCCGCTTCTTCATCAACGCCTCCTTGTCCAGCTTCTGGAACAGTTCCGGCCAAATTCCCAGATGCTTTTTGACGAGCACAATTCTCGCCTCGTGCTTGAAGATGCGACAGTAGCTGGCCATTTCATCAATTTCCTGGGCTAGATGCCGTTCAAAGAATATCGGCGGATTGTTGAACTTTATGTACTGCGGCAGGAGTACCACATCTGGCTTCCGAGTGACCAGCCTATTCAACTCAATGGAGATTTTAATGTCCTCCTCGGTTTGGGATATCTGAACCATTTTTCCGGAGCTGCCGTTCTCGTTGTCGTTGCCCTCTCTGTAGTTGTATTGTGAATGAGCAGTTTCCAGGCTGACACATAGCCTCAGTCGGGCAGGCCCCCTAGTGTCATTTGGAAGGCTAAGACACTGTCTACTGACTGCCGAGCGATTCATTTGAATATCATATTGGTTTTATTTATTTTCAATTGAATATTAACCGGCATCGTAATGGCCAAAACAAGTTGTGCTGCTTATTGATCAAACAATGATTGGCTGGCTGGCTGTCTGTCCATTTCCCTGTCCATTGCAACATATTTGTTGAAAAGAGAGCGAGAGCGAGAGAGAGAGAGAGGGAGCACGCGTGGGTATGTTTTAAGCCGTTTTTTGTTGTGCACACACCTGTAACACTGCCATCAACTTAGTCATTGACCCTGCGGACCTACTTACCTGCGCTGAGATACAAGGCTTGAATTAGTTATAGCCATCTAAAATGCCCGAGCACGCGATTCCATTTCCATTTTGGCTGGCAGCATAATTCGTGTTGTTATTGCATTTAGCACCGAATTGACAAATTCCTAATGGTATTTGTTTTATGCTCTGCACGAGAACTATTTATAGCTTTGCCCCATAAATTGGCCCTTTCTGAAAGACAATCAGAACAGTCGAGTCAAAGGGCCATTAAATTGGGTAATTAATTGATTACGGTTGGCAATATAACAAAAGTTTGACTAGGCGATTAACGACGAATTAATCAATTCAAGGTACTACAGAAATCGTCTGGGTATTAATACAAATATTTATCAACATGTTTAACAAATTTTAAATTTGAGCACCAGTCATTGAAATTCTTCAATAGAATGAATACTTTCTAAATATCAGAAGTTCTGGTCTTATAATATTATCCGGTAATTATATAAATTATTTGAAGCACCATTTCTAATTTACCGTTACTATTGAACCATTTAAAAGGGAAAATCAGGGTATAATGGTTTTGTAAGAATATATGATGTAGGGAGAAGGCGCTGCGGTATAGTATATATATTCTTGATCAGGGCGGCGAGCTGTGCTTGAAATTTGTGTTGGTAAGTCCCTGTATATTCGAATTTTCTTTTTCCAAAGTTAACAATATTTAAAAAAATCACGGCACATTCGTTATAATTGATCTTGCTCAACAATTATAGAGTGTAAAGCTTGGCACTTGATTTTTGCAATAGTTCTGTATTGACCATGGGATTCATGCCCACTTGAACGATAAGGCTTTGGAATAACCCAAGCCATATGAACAAAGAAAACGTCAGTTTCTATCAATTGATTGTTAGTAGGCAAACAAGTTTTGTCAACAATTCCAAAATTAAGAATTCCTGAAAATTTACATTTAAAATTAAAATGAAGTGCTACGTTTGGCCTATGATTGGAATCCTTCTACTTTTTATTCATGTTTGCTACTCTTATAATGCGAGTAAGTAAGTCACTTAAGTTAACGGCTACCAAAATAATCATACTATCCATCAGAGATATGCGACGCCGAACCAAGTAAAACAGGTCCTTGTAGAGCGATGTTTACAATGTGGCGCTTTATAAAGGCAAAAAAACTGTGCGAATCTTTTATTTATGGAGGATGCCAGGGCACAAAAAATCTGTTTGATTCCGAAAAGGAATGCAAAAAGAATTGCTTAAAGTGAAGATCCAAGAATACATTCTTTCAATTGCATACAAAAATCCTTTCAATAGGTTAACATTAAAATTTCTAATTTTATATAGAAAGACAAGCAAGATGCTGATATGATATTTGAATCAAATGAGATATTTTTACTCTGTAAATAATTGTTTTATTTCTCAGACTTAATTGAACTCTCGGGCAATACTTTTGCCACCTTTCTTGGCTCCTTAATCGTCGTTTGGGGACACTGCATTTCGCTCCAACCAATGGGCACCATGGGAATTCGATTCTTCCGATAATCACTAGCATAGGCCACCACCACGCCGAGTTCTGCCTCCGCTGTGCTTAACATAAAGGATTGCTCCATTTGGTTGACAACGCGCGCCAATATGACATCGCCGGGCTTGAATGACTTGTAAATATCCACACGATCTTTATCCGTTTCGCGGACATCCTCCTTGCGCAACAGACCGCGGTAACTGCTCTCGAGTAACACATTCCTCACGCAAAATATCGCACACTTGGCGAACTTTGGTGTCGTCACTAGAACCCGAGCTGTGACAACATCTCCTGTTGCCGGAATGGTCAAATGGAAGCCAGGCTTGTGTACACTTACAATTTGGCACTGAAATGGAAATGGATTAAATTAATGTTCACATAAATTAGCCGTTATATTTACTTTTTCATTTGATTCGTCAATATTAATAATTCCCGATTTACTGGCATAAATATAGCCCCCTTGTTCGTATGTGCCTTGACCTACAACGATGTTGTCCTCCACGCGACACAGACGGTCTCCAGGCAGGCAAATGAGCATATCATCCTCATTTTGAGATAAAGTATCCGTGTTCTGCATATTTTCTGTCATGTTTTTATTAGATCAAAAGCGAAATAACTTTTGCAACTCACTAACAACAAGTCGGCACATGCTTTGGTGCCTTGTGTTAACATTTCGAGCACTGTAGTTAACAGTGTTTACTCGTAATTTAACCAGTGATGCTCGTAAGGGGTACTAGTTCCATAGTGAGCAATATATCGAATATGGTTATTTATATATAATTTTTTGGCAATGGAATAATTAGTATAAGCTACTGAATATAGCAATCATTCTGAGTTTTAATTTACCACACATACATTCGATGTTATTGGAATTACTACGGAACTGTGACTCGATAAATATTCAAATCGAGTCCCATTGATAGTAACTTGCCATCACTAACGCAATCGATAACATTAGCAAACGATAAGTCGCGCGTGTTTTTCGCCGGCTACCGCAAATCTGCGAGATATTTCCAATATTTGGCATTGCATTTTTAATTTACGATGAACACAAAATCTAATATGAGCTATCGGGAAGTTATTCCTAAAAATATAAACCCCGAGGAGTGGGTAGAAGTCGAAATAAATACAGGTGCGTTGCGTGGTACCACTCCATTGGAGCCTTAGAGAGGTTTCGTAAATAATGCTAAATGTATTTTTTTTTCTGACTGAAATAGGTACACAAAGTACACTGCAGGATATCAAGACTTTTGGCAAGTCGGGTAGCTATTGCTACAATTTTTCGACCAATGGCCAAAATAGGAATCGCTTTATTTATTGGTAAGCATTGCTTGGATAATTAAATACATGTAATACATATTTGATTAACGGATGCATATTATTCCAGGCGTACATATCAAGATATCGTGGAACTATCTGAAGTTAGCTTAGATGTATCGCTTCTGAGAAACCACCTTCGTTTACGCTTTACGGATTCCGCGATTCTAAATGTCTCGCTCGCCGAACAGGGAGACACCGTCAATCTGTTGGCGGTGACCGTCAGCAGCATTCATAGGATTGTGTTTCCATTGCACACGGACAATACAAAATTATCATCATCTATTTCACCCGAATCGCATAGGAATTCCATATTTTATGATGCTTCCGCATTCTTGAAGGACCGCAGCACATTCTATGTGCTAGATGGAACCATGGCTATCAATGTGCCACATCTTGCAGCCTCCGATATGTTGGAAGATAAAGAAGAGGCCTTTTTTGCAGTCGACTATCATTCAAAACTTATGCTTTATATTATGAACAGTCGAACGGGCGGCACGGTTTCACATGAAATCAAAGAGTCACATTTAATGCCGCGTTTTTTGAGCAACCTTAAAGGCGCCCTGACGTAAGTCTTGAAGTAGATAACTAATTAAATAAATAGTGATTGAATTCCATTGCAGTGGTCGAGGCGAAAGTTTGGAGGGAGCTGTATCAATGGCATTTAGTCGTATCGAAGGTGAAATGTTTCTCTTGGTTCTTTATAGAAATAACGAGCTTCGATTGTGGTCGGTGGCCACTTTACAGAGTGTTGCCTCTTATGCATGTGTCGACTCTCAAGGTGCTCAGGGTCGTAAGTTTTATAAGCTCTAAAAATGTAATCATATTTATCTAATTATTTGTTTGTATATTTAGCACAAAACAGTTTGCTACGTAAAATAGATGATCATAATTTCTGTGTATTTTTGTCGCATGAAAAGGAATCCGAATTCATTTGTCTGAGCATTGTTTGTAATCAAGCGAACGACGCGAACACTAAAACTGTAGGCTTGACGCTGCGCCATAAGGTGCCAGCTCCTGAAATGGATTTAGCTGACTTCGATGCTACTCGCTCGCATATTTGGACATTGTGGAGCAATGCTGAGGGTGAATTCAATGTGTCGGCAATTTTCTTAGAGGAAGACAAGTCAGTTAAATGGGTGTCTGCTGCATTGGAGCCTCCACCGGATCGATATTGCCTCACCATAGAGCAAGGTGTCGACCCACGAGAAGCATACTGTTCCTATATATTTCATCCGGGTCGATTTGATATTAACGTGATCGCCAAGGCACTTTATGTAAGCTCACAGTTATATCTGTCTAACGATGAGAAATTAATTATGGTTATTTTCTTTACACAGATGTTCATGCGCGCTAACATGCAGTTTGATATTAAGCAGATAACAATGGGTATGCTCAAGGAGCAGGTCTGTCAGACGGTCGAGGATGAGATACAAAATGAACTGAAAGACTTTGTTGTTAGCGACGATGAGTATTTGGAGATTGCGACCAGACTCTGGGATCGTTTCTACTCCTGCTGCGAGCAATATCATGTCAAGTTCTCTGAGCCAACGGGCTTATCCGTTCTGGGTGCCATGGATGCTGTTTGCATTATTCGAAGGCAATCCTTTGCGTTGCTGCGTCCATGTGAAATGCTCGAACATTTAATGCTTGTCGGGGAACACAACTCGGATGTGGCATCATATGTGGCACCTTATTGCCGAAACGATATTGTAGCTGCCCACGGGTTTATTGACCTAATGGTGGTCATCAACCAATTGGAAAAGATTTTGAGCGAAGATATTAAAATCGAAATGGAAAAGAAAATCTACCAACGCGACGATAAAGTTCTTTCAAAATTGTTGATTCAAATTACAAAGAGTGATGAATATAATGATAACGATGATAACGATGGAATCGCACTGCCGATTGGAACTGTCGAGAAATTCAAAAAGAAGTTGATATCGATCCCGATTGTGGATGCAGCCATTAATATGCTGCTTGATTTCCTTGCCATTGTCGACGAAGATGCGTATCCCGACTCCGCAGGTATATTTCGAATAAAGTAAAGTGCATTTTTTGACTGCTGCTAAATCTGGAATCATAATTTTCAGGCGGTTACTCCAAGTCCACAAGGTTTCTCCAGTCGACAGGAGCATTGTTTGGCAGCGAATATGGAATTTCGATTCTCGCTGAGACAGTCAAGCAAATGGCAATGATACGGTGGGAATCAAATTACAGTTTGATAATATATTTAAATAATATATTTTAATTTTATTTGTCAGCTTTGCCGTTTGCCGAAATCTTTTGATTCTACAGTACATTCTATATGGAAGTGGTTCTAAGAGCGACTACACTATTACAACTAATGTCAATTTCTTGAACTCCTACTACACACTTGTCTGGATTTCCGAGACACCAATTTCCCTCAATACGCCAGTTAACTTGTAATATGCAACTAATTATTTAATGTTAAGAATCGTTTAACCTTTGTTTATTTTTTTTACATGTGCAGTGAGGTTTCTATTCAGCGTTTGACGCGTGCACAGCTTTTCAGCGGATATACGAGGCCCTATTCGAGCAGAATATATTTGAACAATCAAACAACGCTGTTATGCCTGTTCTTGCAGTCAAAGGGCTTATTTAGCGCACTCTCGATGCTGTTGAAGGATCCCAATGCATTAGTGCAGCAGTTGTCAATGCGCCAGATTCTGCTACAGTTGGTTGGCTGCATTAATCAAATGCTGTAAGTAGAAAAGATACTTTGATTCTGTTCATTACAATAATTTACAAATTTTATCTCAGCTGGCCAGAGGCATGGAATGATGTATTCCCTGAATGGCTTTTTGGCACATGCCATCATATAATTATTCAAGATTATGAACGCTTATTGTCGGGCTGGTGTGCCGAGAAAACTGATTCACGTAAATACATATACATATTGAAGGTTCTTATGCTAAGTTCGGTGGCTAACTATTATTATATTTCAGGAAGATTCATGCTGGCAGTTTCGCTTTTGGATTGCGGCGAACCACATAAAGCAATCAAGCTGTTCGAGCAAGTTCAAGAGAGTGTGCTCAAGGAGCCATTCTTGTTTCAGCAAGTTCTGAAAAACACTCCACTCTATTCCACGCTTTCAAACGTTCTCAAAAGACAGAAAATTGTGCCAACAAAAGACGAAACCAAACAGGCCTTGGTACATTATTACCTCAAAGTTATTCAGCTATTTGAACAGCATTCGGGATACGATTATATCATTCAATTGGCCCATGTAGCTATGAACAGGCTGACTGGGGATGATCCCCAATTGCCCATGTTCCAGTCTATAGTATTTAATAACCATTTGCAACTGGGCCACTACGAGGAGGCCTATCATGCTTTGGTCTACAATGCGGATACGTCGCGTCGAAAGGATTGTCTACGTCAGTTGGTCATAATGCTATTCCAATGTAAACGCTTTGATCTGCTCATGCAATTGCCTTATAATAGCCTGCAAGAGGAATTCGAGAATATTGTTGAGTCTCGTGCACGATCGCTGAGTATCGATCAGAACGAAGTCTATAATTTTCTGTACGCATTTCATTCAAACAAAGGAAATATGCGTAAAGGTAAATTAATTGAATATATATATTGTATATATATATTGTATATATATATTGTATATATATATTGTATATATATATTGTATATATATATTGTATATATATATTGTATATATATATTGATTATATTTATTGCTTTCACAGCTGCGACTGTCATGTACGAGCAGGCCATGCGTCTACACGTGGACAGTGATGCACCCGATGCGCTCCAGAAACGATGCTCGTCGTTACTGGTTTGCATAAACTCACTGTATTTAGTGGATAGTCGCTATAGATGGATTGCTAAGCCCACAATTGGCGACGATAAGGCTGCCATGGAAATGTCCAACAACGAGGACGATTTACAGGATATTGAAAGAGTCCATGAAGTCGTTGTACTTGAATTAAACGATATTCGTCGAGAGCTGCTACACGCAGAGGCTCTAAAAGAACTGGCGCAACATCGCAAGGATGTCGGCGCCTATGAAATGGCCGACGCTGAGGAGCTGTCTTACCTTTTGGCCACTTGTGGTCTATATACAGCAGCACTGAAGCTCGCACGGGGCCATTCGTTCTCTGTGCTGCCCATATTCGAGAGTCTGACGGCTGCCTGTGTTAGCATCTCTGAGGATAAGACTAAGGATGCTTGGTGTTGGCTGCAGAACAATGACTTAGCCGGTATAAATCATATTAATTTATCTAATTTAAACATGCAAAATAAATATATATCCTGTTTTATAGATCTGCCTCATCGCAGCAGTGCAGCGGACATGGCTTGGTCGCTGCTGCAAAAACTAGTTGTCGACAATGAGCTGAATGAATCGACTTCAATACGTAAATGTGTCGCTAATCGTATACTTAACTTGAATGCATTTCTGCCCCAATGGCTGTACGACTCATACAAGCTGGCTAACTCCCGGGAGTTTCTTTATTTGCTGGTGAAGCATAATCGCTTGCTCGACGCAGCCGATTTGGCATGCGAAATGATTGGCGCCATGCTGGGAGCAGGCAGCGAATATTTCGACTTTCAACATTCAGTGAACGTGACCAGTCCACAGCTGGCGTTCCCCATCAACACAATAGATCTACTCCTGCACGGCCTGCACGTCAATGGCAGTCAGCATATCGAATACGAAGTGGTAAGTGATCCCAATTGTGCTTGTATATTTCACATAATATTTGACTGATCAATTGCAGGCACATGCCAAGCTGGAGGAGGAGGTTGCCCGATATATTGAGACTGTGAAGCGCACCACTGACGATAAAATGAAGTTAGCCATATTAACTGACAGACAAAATCGGCAGCAGCGGCAAATATTCGGTTAAGAGTTTCTAATGTATTTTGTGGGTTTCATAGAAAGATTATATATATTATTATAATTATGTTAAAAATCATCAGTCATCACCAGTTCGGCGAGAAACTTTTTGTAGATGTTCATAAATTGCGCCACGAATGCCTCTAAATGGAAAATATGCTTTGCTCCATTCTGCATGCGATGCTCGTATTGTGTTGCGTACTCCAATGTCTTGGCCTTGATGGACATATCACAGTTGTTAACCAGCTGCTCGACGAGGCCGCGAAAGATGAGATTCGGTGGCACGCCTTGTGAAAGCAGTTCGTACAAACGATCCCTAATCTTTTCCAGTTTGGCTGGCGTTTGTTCGCTCACAATTTGGGCTGCTGTCTCGCGCAGATACACTTGCCAGTCCAGCTCGGCGATTTGCTGCTGCGCTGTGAAGGGGTATTGCTGCACTTTGGAGGCCTCCAACATGAGTAGAGCTCTTCGCATATTCCTTTCGGATTTCTCGACCACCCGCTTGGCCAACTCCGGCGGCAATACGAGGCCCTCGCGCTTGCATGTGTTTTGTAGGACGGCTATCATTTCCGCCTCGCTTGGTGCTGGCACTCGGATGCCCAGGCAACGCGAGCGAATGGCTGGAATGATGCGAGACGTGGAATTGACGGAGAGTATAATGCGGCATGTAGCGACGTATTTTTCCATGGTGCGACGCAGCGCATGCTGAGCGTCTTTGGTGAGTTCGTCTCCCTCAGAGATAACGATTACTTTAAACTCGCGTTGGCCGTTGACGTCTATTTGATGCGTTTGTGCCACTTGCTTGATTAAGTCTATGACAACAGTCCGATCGTACATGCCAGCATCTGAGGGATTCACCTCCAGGTGGTAGTTGCTCCCCACTGTCATTATATCAATCTTTCGATTTGAAGGCGTTGTGAAGTTCATTGTTTCGTTGCGTAGTCTCTCTACTCCGGCCCCATACATTTCACGCAGCAGACACATTATCCGGGTCTTCTTACCAGCTCCGGATGGGCCGTAAAACATGAGATGGGGAAAATCACTTTGTTTGCATAGATTGCGTAGGTTTTCAGCCTGGTCCTAAAATGTTACCAATATAAGTCAAAGAATCGCACACTACATAAAATATATATTTACTTTGTGATAATCCAGTTTGGATAGTTCACGGGGTCGGTATTTGTCTACCCAAAGGGCCATTGAAGCTTATTATTTAACACCTTTACCACTTAACAGAACAAGTCCAAATTTATTCCGGCTTTCTTTGTGCCTGCGCGCTTTTTTTACGATAACCAATCGATAGCTCTGCCGATATGTTTCTTATTTCCAACTATCGATATGTATTTTTGATATTTCTGACGATATTTCATAATGGCTGGAATTCGAAAACGGAATAATCAAAGCGAGCAAATCATTTCATTTTTGGTGACTAATATATTTACTCAATAAGTTTTTCTTTCACGAGCGTTTCATTATGAGAATGTACATGTCGAGAAAGACTTGCCTTACTCGAAAACGGTTTATTACACATATGGCAATTGTATGGGCGTTCTCCAGTGTGCGTCCTTTGTTGTGTGTAGAGGGTTTTGTGTGCGCCGAAAGCCTTTCCACAGTTAGTATGGGCTTTAGATGCACTGCATCACCGTGTTCTTTCAGATGACAACGTCTCTTAAATTTTCGTCCACACGTACTGCACTGATATCCTTCCTAGTTATTGTGCCGAGATATGTGGGAGTCTAGGTCCTCTTGGCTAGCGCGATCACGCGAGCAAATTGGACATCTAAATTCCGAGTTAGACAAATGGTTATTCATATGAAGATTCAATTCAGTCTTTTGCCGAAACGATTTCTGACAAATGTTGCACGTAAAGGGACGCTCTTTTGTGTGACCCATTATATGGATGCGTAAGGTTCTGGGCAGTCCAAATGAGCGTTCGCAAAAGCCACATTTATGGGGACGAATCCCTTCGTGGACCAATCTGACATGGCCATTTAAGTGGGTCTTGCGTTTAAACTTTCGTTGACAAAATGGACATTGATTTACTGCAGTGGATGAATCAATTATAATTTTATCTATTTCAGATTCACTGCCAGTTTCGGAAAAATCAAGTTCTCTTTTGTTGATGCGCTATAAAAAAAAATAAATAAAATAAAAAATTAATATTATTTTACTAAAAATTAAAAATACCCTGTAAATTTTATTCACCAAGAGTTGTGGATTGTGTTCGCTTCCCTCAGTGCCATTTTCATGTATATTTTGTTTAAGTTTCTCATCTAGTCCTATCATATCTATAGTGGATTTGAGATATTGTTGACTCCTTTGCACTGTCTTTTGAAATTCAAGAAATGTTTCACATTTCTGAGTGCAATGTTTACATATAGCTTTAGCTAGAGATGGTTTATCACTAATTCCTGAAAAGTTGCATGAAATTCTGTTGCTCAGGAGAAAAAGCACGATTCCCCAATTTAACTTTAAAGCATGTTGCGCATATCAGTTTAAATTTAGTATTTTCCATTATTTCGAGATTTTCGGCCGTTATCTCGCTAAGAGCAATTTTTGAACAGATGGACATCTCTGCAAATTTGCAAAATATGCCGATTTTGGTATAACAGTTATGGCAAAAAACGAGTTGGCATGGTTAAATTCAATCTTGTTATCGGTTGTATTCCATCTGCCAATTGAGAGTGTCTTTCAAATTATGTTGCAGTTGTGTGCTTTTTGATTTATCCAAATCTTGTAAACATGCTCCACAGAAGTTGTTTATTGTAGCACGAGTTATTGGCAGTATCGCGTAAACGAAATATAGGTCTACAAATTATAGTTAAATAATCAACTGTGTTTGTTTATTTTTTATATTATAAATCAAGTGGTCAGCACTCTTTTCGCTCAACTTTTATACATTTTCTTTGGTGCTGCAAATTGCTCTGAGTGTGAAACTAATTATCGATAAATTTTTAAAACAGCTGTATTATTAATAGTTATGTTATTAATTTGTTGCGGATAACGATTGGTAACCAGTTAGCAGATTTTGTGCACAATTTATGAAAAAACGTATTTGCATTTATTCAACCAGTTGATTAGACTGAAATGCTATTAAATTATTATATATAATTCTGAGCATTATCTAAATATATTTTTTCATTAATTAATTTAATTTACTTTTAAAATAATTTTGTCTTGCTGTTATCGATAGCACTTTTGCCGAATGTTAAGTTAACAGAAATCCAACAATGTTCGTTTGAGGCACGAAGAAGAAGAAGCAAAGTCGTGGAATACATACATAAATTCTGCGGCTGCTGCGGCTTATCGTGATTTTTTTAATAGTTTTTTTTTTTTAAAAGGCTAGACAATAAGCGTATGGAAAACGGTGTGGAAAATGGTTTACTGCCCGAAGGCGAACCACTAGGAGCGCGTGAAAATCAAATGGGCAGCAGCACAGACGGCGAGGGTGATGGCGAGGGCGATTCGACGCCTCAGCCGCCACAAACAACAAATGACGATGTAAGCGACGGCGATGCGGATGGGGAGCGCGATATGTCTGTGTCGGATGCCGCTGAAGCCGAAGCCGATGCAGAAACAGCGGAAACAGAAGCAGCTCCAGCTGAAAATAGTGCACCCCGCCGGATATCCATCCTGGACGACAGTCTGTGCGAAAAGGACGTGGATAGCGATGGGCCCGACGACGAAAATGATGATGAGGTGAGCTTCATTTGTTACAGTTGAAATAATTAAAATTCATATAATTATAATAATGTTCCTTTTCCCTATGTACAGGCGAAAGAAAACTATGAAGGATTCAATGGGACTGGCCGCACAGTCACTTTGCAAACACTAATGGCCGCAAATGTTTTGCAGCCAGGCAAATCATTGATGACTATTGATTATCTAGGACAAAAATTTGTGGGCGATTTGCTGTCAGACGGTAAAATTAAATCACAAGAGACTGAAACCATATTCTTAACGCCCAGCGCCTGGGCCATGCACTGCAAGCGCATTATCAATCCCGAAAAGAAAAGCGGATGCGGTTGGGCATCCGTGAAGTATAAGGGCAAGAAACTGGATGCATATAAAAATACCTATTTGAGAAAATGTGCGTTACAAAAGGAGTCTACGCCCGAGGACGGCGATCCAGGTAATAAGAAAATAATAAACTAAATTGAATGAAGATTAAATATATGAAAAGAGCCTTGATAGCCTTCTAGAAAAGTCTAGTCTAACATTGATAATAACATAAAAATGATATTTATATTTGTTTTTTATTAGATACAGAACGCAAGACCGATTCGCCAGATCTGGTTGTCAAACGAACAGTATTTCCACACAACACGGTTGCCAATCGCAATATAATTCAGTAAGTTGCAATAAAGAGGATTTCCTCAACGCATGATTTAATGTGTGTATTTCTTGCAGTGATGCCAATATGATGATTGAGGCCATTCCATTCACTTCGGTTGGCAAATTGCAACCGTTTCTGTTGACCATCACCTCCTCCGCCCTGCTATTGGCTGACTTCCATTGTCACCTGACGATGCGCGAGGTGTGCGGTTACCTGGGCGGCACCTGGGATATGAACACGCACAGTGAGTCCGGCCTCGAGAATTGAACTTGTTTGTGTTTGATGTCACGTTAAACTGTTCTTTGTCCTTGCAGCATTGACAATTACGAAAACATATCCGTGTCGTAGCACGCGCTTCGATCGACAACGGGCAGCGGAAGTAGAGCGAGATATACAGAAAATGATGATACAAGATCAAGTGCTGCTCGTCGGCTGGTATCACTCGCATCCCAAATTTCAGGCCGAGCCCACTCTGCGCGATTGCGATGCACAGCTCGACTATCAGATACGAATGCGGGGCGTTAGTGATCTGACGTATACACCATGTGTTTCACTAATCATTTGTAAGTTAGTTGTATTTACTGAAGATAAAATATAGATTAATTGCTTTTATTACCTTGGCAGCTCCCTATTATGAGGAGAATCCCACTCTGGAGTCGGTGGTCAAGTGCATTTGGATCGTGCCCCCAAATGAGAATAAACAGTCAATGGAATATGGACGACCGATGCTAATGCAATACTCTGTGCTGCCCGATAAAGAGATACCCGAGGAGGTGCGCACGGAAATACAGAGTTGCGTTGATTACTACACTCAGTTTCGCGGCGAAATTGTGAAATTTCGTAATATCTACAGCAATGACGTGACCTACAACGAGAAGTTAAAGAACACGCTCTATCCGAAATTTCCATCGAAACAAAGTGATAAGGCGCTGTGGAACTGGCTCTGTGCCGTCCTGGACTGTGAGCAGGAGGATGATTTTATACCACCGAAAACCATTAAAATTATCGACAATGAGAATGACAATGAAGTTGTAGTAAAAACAGAGACGCCTCCCCAAGCTGACCTGGCAAATGATATTAAGCTGGAGCAACAGCCGAAAGAGGAGCAGATGGGCGAGAGTCTTCAGTTGACTGCCGTTGACATGGCCCGCAAATCGGAGGAGGAAACCACGCTGCAGGCTGAGCAGAAGGCCAGCGAACTGAAGGTAATGTCGCTGCAGGAACAGCTCTGCATGCCCTCGGGCCTCAACATGAATCCAGTGCGCATGCTCTCCCCGCTGGCCACTCCGAATCCCACAAATACGACACCCGTAGCTGCAGTAGCAGCAGGAGCAGCCACAACAGTTCCAGTGGTGCCCGCCATGCCGCTGAATGCGTCAGCTGTGAGTCAACTGTTACCGCCACAAACGCCAGTAGTGAGTACGAACAGCGGACCCGTTGCTGCTGCCGTGCAGTCGGCATCGCCGCGGGACAGCCCAACGAACATTCAGCTGCCGTCGAATGCCGCCAGTCCCGCCAAGTTTGAGCTGCCGGTGCGTGCCTCGCCCTCGCCAGCGAAGTCGGATGCCTCGTCGCACACCTCACGCACTCGCAATTCGCCGGCGCCCAGTCCGGGCAAGTTCAGTGTGAGCGATATTGCGAGGAATAGCCCGAGCATCACGCCCAACAAGTACGATCTGACTACGCCGCTGGTGCCGCCGTCGGCCGCCTGCTTGCCCACGGCCAATGATCTGATGGCCGCCAGCTTGGCCCAGCTGGCCGGCCAGTTGCCGCCCAACTTTCTGCAGGCCGACTTGGCCTCGCTATTCCAGCAGCAGCGCAAAGACTATGGCAGCTCCTCACTCAATCAGTTGGCTGCTGCTGCAGCGAAGGTGGGTGGCTCCAAGCAGAACAGCAATGTGGCTGCGGGGCTCGGCAATCTTAGCGATCCCAATGTGGCGGCCGCAGTGGCAGCCTACTCGAACAGCTTCAACATGCCCATGCCGTCTGGCAGCAGCAACAGCGGTGGCAGCGGTAGCAATAATAACAATAGCAATAATAACGGCGGCAGCAAATCAAAGATGGACCGCTCCAAGTCCTCGGCGTCCTCATCTTCGTCCAATTCTAGTTCATCGTCGAACTCGTACAAGACAAAGCTCATGAAGGAGCTGGACGAGCTCAAGAATGATCCGCTGAAGATGAGTGAGCTCATCCGGTCGCCGGAGTATGCGGCGCTGCTGCTGCAGCAGGCCGAGGCACTGGGCGCCACAACGCTGGGCACCCTGGGCTTTGGCTCCGACTTGAATTATCTGACAGGCAATCAGCAGGTCGCCAATCCGAGCAGCAGCAAATCCTCAAAGTCAACATCGGCAACGTCGTCGTCAGCCTCGGCAGCGGCGGCAGCAGCTGCGCTCAACGCCGACTACAACAATCTGATCCAAGCGTCCAAGCTGCTGGGCTACGATTCCTACATGCAGCAGCAGAGCAAGCAGAGCAATGACCTTAACGTGTTCCTACAGCAGCAAATGGCTGCAGTTGCGGCTGCTTCGATACCGCCGCCGCCTGTTGCCAGCAGCAGCAGCAGCAGTTCGAAGAAACAGCAGCAGCAGCAGCAGCAACAGCAGCAACAACAGCAACAACAACAGCAACAGCAGCAGCAACAACAGCAGCTGCAACAGCAGCAGCAATCGGCAGCACAGGCGGACTACACAGCTCTGCTGCAGACCTACACAAAGCTGTTCGACCCCAATAATCAGTTTGCTGCCGCCATGGCCTCGACGGGCAGCAAGCACATGAGTGGAGCGCACAACGAGTTGTCCGCTCTGCTGGCTGCTGGCGCTGGGGGGCTGGCGCCAACTGGCGGCGGCGGCGCGGTGAGCTTGAAGCAGAAGCAGAAGGATATGCAGTCGGACATGCTCAATCAGCTGCTGCAGCTGGAGAAGCAGGACTCGGAGATCAAGGCGCTGCTGTACCGCCAGAATAAGGCAGCGGCCGATTTGGACGCACTATTCGCCACACCGTCGGGCGCTGCTGCTGCTGTGGCAGCTGCTGCGGGCAGTGCCACAAAATCAGGCAGCAGCGGAGCATCGGCAGCTGCAGCAGCGGCGGCAGCCATGTCCACAGGAGTTCCATCTTCGTCAACGCTGAGCAACTCGGCCGCCTACTACAATGCCTTGGCGCAGGAGAAGATGCAGGACTACGCCGCATTCTTTCAGCATGGAAAGTACGGCATACCGGATCCATTGTCGAAGTCGACGTTGGCAGCGAACAACATGTTCATGTCGCCGTCGGCTCTGTTCAAGATTCAGCAGGAATCGCTATCGGCTATGATGATGAAGCCGCCAAAGTCGACGACGCCTTCATCGGCGCGCACAAGGGAGTCGTCCGCCTCGCCGGCCCTGGAGCGCCTCACGCCCACCAAGTCGATCAGCGGGGGAGCCGGCGGCGGTGGTGCAGGCGGTGGCAATTCCAATTCCGGCAGCAAATACAATTTCAGTGCAGTGGATTTGGCCATATCAAGCGTGCCCTCGAATACGCCATCCCCGGCGCCGTCGGATGGCAGCAGTGGCTCCTCACATCGACGTCCCTCGCCCGACCTTAGTCGCCTCTACAGCGAACTGGCTCCACCGGGCGCACTGCTGGGAAACGCGATGCCCAAGAAGCGCATGGAGTTCGCCTCGGTGGCCGATCTGGCTGCACCGCCGCCAGCGAAGATCCCGAAAAACAACGTGAGCGACGATGTCTTGAACTTATCCCACGATTAGGAGAGGCGACTAGGGCACTGCCTGTGGACCTGAACCATATCGAGCGCATGTCCCAGTTAATGCAGTATTTCCTTATCAGTATCTACCCTTAACGCAGCAGAGCATTCAATTATAAATATATATGTAACATTATATACATATATATATATATATGTATATCTATGTATATCTATAGTACATCACGCGAATCTCCTAAGCTCCAAGTAAAAGTCATATAAGATATATAATTCTCGCTGTAAACATCCGATTTGAGCCACAATCGTAGACTAATTGAGATTCTTGACTGCTGGAGATTGAATGTACAATGGAATAGAATTAGAGCAGGGTACAGGAGAAGTCCAGTATTTCGAGAGTTGAGTTCGAAAGATTCTAAAACTTCTGCATTAGAGAACTTATTTTTATGGCAACTAAACATATATATATCATTTGATATTCAATCAAGAAGTATACTTAATGACATTCACATACTGCAATGCTGATCATCGTAACACAATTTTTAAATACGAAACTAGTTTTTAAAATGAAACGAAACCCCAACAGAAATGTAGATAGGTGTGCGCAGTCAGTCCATGCAATACTGTTGATTGTTTGGCTGCAATGGGAATGTTTGAGAGTCTCTTGAGCGCTTGACGTCTTAAACACATATTATTTATAAACTATTTTAGGTTTAATTACTGCACAAAGGTACTTTAAGTATTTTAAAATAGTACATACATACATACAAACTTATATGCAACAGACAAACAAGCAAACAAACAAACATTTATTATTAACTGTAATACTGCATATTTTGAAATTGACTTTTGCCGCAATAAAGTATATAAACTAGGTATTTAGTTTACAATATTAAATAGTAAATACTGGCTAAATCATATAGCATACACTAGATCTTACGATCTAGTCTTAGCATTACCCTTAGCTTTACCGGTCGAATACCGGTTCGAATTTTTGTTTTGATCCATTTGAATGAATCCAGAACCCGCTGAACTGCTATGCAAAATATGAAATGATTAAAGTTGTTGTTGTTGTTGTTGTTGTTGTTGCTGTTGTTGACAGATCATAACAATAACAACATTTCGAAGCGTGGCACTGATAATGATGCATAGGCAACGAGGAACAGGTGTTTACGTGCCGTTTAGCTGTTCGTGGGGGACCGGCTTACCGCGTCGACTAGTTTCCCCAGCAAATAATCAAAACAACAAGATATCTAAACCGAAACAAGAGTGTCGAGGCAACTCGACTAGGAGATACCCAAAGTCTTGAATAATCTGGGCTATGAAATTTAAGTAGTTATCCATTCCCGCACTATTCGGTCTCACACAAAACAAGCACATCGTAATAGTGATTCCTTGAATATGTTGAATTCCTCGAATTTTAAACGGAATTAGTTTGGGAAAACATTGAGTTTAGCTTTTACAGGTTCTGAGATCAACGCGTTTATAAATACGTACAGATTATAAAATGGACATGGCTAGATCAACTCAGCTCGTCATACTGATCAAAAATATATATGTATGTATGCACACATTTTTTAATGGGGTCTGAAACACCTCCTGCTGTAATAGGTTACATACAATTTTAGTAAACCATTCTATCCTGAATTCTCATTTTTCTATGGCACCCATAATCTGAAAATAAATGAAAAATAAGATATGCTAGGCAATTGGTATAGTTTCACATCTTATCGCTGTGAGCACTCTTTTTATGATGCTGTTTATAGGGTATAAGAGGCAAACGGACTTGTTCACACACTTCTCATATAAATACCAGCCATCTGTGCCCGAGAAACCTTAGTCTGTTACCATCTCACTTCGCTTAAACACATGTCGGAATATAAGGTAAGGTCAATCCAAGAGGACGGACTGGAATATTTTAAATAGTGGGATTGCAGATGGCTAACGGCATTGCATATTTTAGTACCTAACAGGTTTTGGTGGGCATTTCTCGTCCGAGGATGAGCGCTGCCCCAACTCCCTGCCCGTAGGACAGAACTCGCCCCAGCAATGCCCGTATGGCCTCTACGCCGAGCAGCTGTCCGGCTCCGCTTTCACAGCGCCACGTTCCGAGAATGTGCGCACGTGGCTATATAGGAAGTTGCCCAGCGCTGTGCACACGCCCTTCCTGCCGTATGCAGGGGCCAAGTACCTGAGCCACAATTGGGATGAGCAGCCGCCCAATCCAAATCAGGTAAGTCGACCCTGAAGATACTCTTCTCCAATCAATCAACATTTTTCCGAATTTGCAGTTACGTTGGAAACCATTCGATTTACCCGGAGCAAAGGAGGAGAGTGTGACCTTTGTCGACGGGCTGCACACGGTTTGTGGTGCGGGCGATGCAAGAGCTCGCCATGGCTTGGCCGTGCACGTCTATCTGTGCAACGCCTCCATGCACAACTCGGCGTTCTACAACAGCGACGGCGATTTCCTCATAGGTAAGTGGCGGACGGACAGTTATAATGGTATTAACTGACCTCCTGATCAGTGCCACAGGAGGGAACTCTGGATATCGTGACGGAGCTGGGTCGCATGGCGGTGTCGCCCAATGAGATCTGTGTCATTCCACAGGGCATTCGCTTTGCCGTGAAACTGAAGACCCCGTGCAGGTAAGCCTCCATTGAATATATACACTCAAAGTAATACCCTCCGATATTTCTATATCTTAGGGGCTACGTCCTTGAAGTATTCGATGGACATTTCCGCTTGCCCGATCTGGGTCCGATTGGGGCCAATGGTCTGGCCAATCCTAGAGACTTTGAGACACCAGTTGCCTGGTTTGATAGCGAGACGTACACGGGTAGGGAGAGGTTTCCCGCGTTTGAATTCAACTGACTCTTCATTCCTTGTAGAGTTCAATGTCATTTCCAAGTACCAAGGCAGCTTATTTGTGGCCAAGCAAAAGCACAGCGTCTTCGACGTAGTTGCCTGGCACGGCAATTACGTGCCCTATAAATACGATCTTTCGAGGTTTATGGTCATCAATTCGGTTAGCTTCGATCACTGTGATCCCAGCATTTTCACGGTGCTCACCTGCCCGAGCCTGAAGCCCGGCACAGCCATCGCCGACTTTGTCATATTCCCGCCACGCTGGTCTGTGCAGGAGCATACATTCCGTCCGCCCTATTATCACAGTGCGTTCAGTTTCCCATATGATATATACGTTTACCTAAGATCTATCTTAAAGGAAACTGCATGAGCGAGTTCATGGGCCTCATACTCGGTCGCTATGAAGCCAAGGAGGAGGGATTTGCAGCTGGTGGCGCTACGCTACACTCAATGATGACGCCCCACGGTCCGGATGCCAATTGCTTTGAAGGCGCCTCCAAGGCTGAACTAAAGCCTGAACGCATTGCTGATGGCACTCAGGCAAGTCGATTTACCCCAGTTTTCCCCAGAATACCTTAACACTACTCACTCTTCCTCTTCCGTCTTCAGGCCTTCATGTTCGAGTCGTCGCTTAGCCTGGCTGTGACCAAATGGGGCGCCGAGACGAGCCAAAAACTGGATGCTCAGTACTACGAATGCTGGCAGGCGCTCAAGAACAACTTCAAATTGGACAATTGAGCCGCTACACATGGATGCTTTATGGACTAGTGCTAAGACATTTATTTAAGTGAGTTTGCAATAAATAAATAATTGAGTGGCTGACAACCATGGAAGCGCCTGAATCATCGACTCAGGTCTATAGCCGGAACGAGATGCTGGGCGCGGAGCGTGGACTTCGATTGCTCAGCACCTGGCTGCCGTTCAAGCGACAGACGCACAGCTGATTGCAATTGATCTGGACCGGCTCCGTGCCCTTAATCGGCTTTGTGGCGGCGGCTTTGTGCGAGGTGGTCACATTGTCGTCCGATCGACGACTGTATATGCATTTGGTGGCACAGTTGCAGGAGCCCGCCCGAATGCTCATGGGCAGGTTTGGGAACTTCAGCAAGGGCAACTCGTCGGCTCTCGGCTGTGGACAACAGCCACTGGATGCGTCCACAGTGCTGATGAGATCTGGCGCCCAGTCGTTGACCACTAAAGCCCGCATTTCGGCTTGGACTCGCTTGATGAGCCAATAGGTGCGCATGTTGCCTTTGCCCTGGAGGTGGGAGGATTTCATTAAAGAGTTCAGTTCACATTAGAGATACTTCACTTTAATGTGGGTCAGTCCTCGCTCGACGCATATGTAGCCGCCGACCTCCTGCAGCAGCTGGTGGGTCTCCTCCGATATGTGAATCTTCATGGCGGCGCCAGAGCTCTCCATGCGCGAGGCCGTATTCACCGTGTCCCCAAAGAGGCAATACCGAGGCATCTATTGAAGTACGGCCTGAGAGGCAAGGTCTAAGCAAATCTGAACAAGTTTACCTTCTGTCCCACGACGCCCGCTGCACAAGGACCTGAGTGTATGCCAATGCGGAATCGCACCGTCTCCGTTGGCTTATGCCGAATCTTGAGATTTCCCACAGTTTCGAGCAGGTGAAGTGCCAGAGAGGCAATCTCGCCCGCATGACGATTCCCGTTCTTCAAGGGCAGGCCCGATACAACCATATAAGCATCTCCAATGGTCTCCACCTTCAAATCGAGTGGGTGGCTATATACACTTTACCATGCAAAGGTCATCTTCAGCCTACCTTATAGACATCGTAATTGGATATTATGGTGTCGCAGCATGTATACAGATCATTTAGCATTTCGACAACCTCAAATGGGGTGCTCGTTGCGCAGAGTTCAGTGAAGCCGACAATGTCGCTAAACAGGATCGTCACACAATCGAAGCACTCGGCCTTGACAGGATCTCCGCTCTTAAGCAATTCCGCAACAGTTCTAAGATCAGGCATCAAGTTCGATATATACATCATATAAAATATGGTTATATTCCGATTTCTCTTACTTTGGCAGCATTTGATACAGCAGCATGTCGGTCTTCTTCTTCTCCTCATAGAGTAAGTTTGTGCGCTCCTGCACCAGTCCCTCCAGATTATAGGCATATTTCTCCATGATGGCCAGCATGTTATCAAATATGTTTGGCTTTCTGAAAATTAAATGAATTGAATCACTTATTGAGGCAAATATTCTATGTCTAACAGTCCAGCTTGCAGTTCCTTCAAATGCATGCGCACGAGTCGAATGTCCGGGCGTACTTCGGGATCCTCGTCCCAGCATAGGCGCAGGCAGTTTCTAATATAATTGGGTATATCCAAAACATTGAGAGCTGGCCGAAATACTCCATGCTGCAGCAAACTAGGGTCTTTTACGAATTCTATTATCTCTACTGGGCAGCAATAGGAAAATTAGCATTAGCAATTGGCACAGAGTTGAACCTATATTCGTATACCCGCTTTCGTATATGCTGTCTCGCCCCAGGGCCCTTTTCTTCCTATCATCTCATACAGTAAAATGCCAAAGGAGTATATATCTCCCTTCTGTGATCCGCGAGCTGGGCGAAAAGGATCACGCAGAAGCTCTGGAGCCATATACTGAGCACGCTTGAGTTGCAGTTCCGCTCTGGAAAGAAATTAGAGTAGAGTCTCAGTTGATGATATGTACGATAATTCCTTGCTCTACTTATTCGGCTCGTCCTGTCCCGCCTTTAGCTCGTGCAGGCCAAAGTCAGAAATCTGGCAAACCCATCTAGAGTCAATGAGGCAGTTACTGGATCGCAAATTGCCATGGGATATTATTTCGGAGTCGTGTAGGTAAATGAGTCCCTTAAGTATATCAGAAACCAGCGAAGATATGAACATATGATCCAAGTGCAGGTCCTCGTTGGCTAGCACATCCTCCAGACTGCCACGCGCACTGTATGTTGTGAAGATTATAACGGATCCATGGTCGATTGATGCACCAATAAAATTGATAATATTCTCATGTCGCACCTAAATTGGAGTCGATATTACAGTAATATTATTACAGAGCATCTCGCATTTTACTCGCCTCTCGCATTAGCTTTAGTTCCTTGCGAATGGATCTTGTTATGTCCACATTCTTCTTATGGATCTTCTTCATGGCTACAATATTCCCACGGAAAAGAGCTAGAGATGGATGATGCTTGAACTGTGTATCTATATTATATTATTATGCGAGCCTCACCTATATTTGTAAATGATCTCTTGTTAGGCTCGCCGACGACCAGAATACTCTGACGACAAATTTGCACCTGAGAACAGATCGAATCAGCTCAAATGAGATTTGGTATAGATTATATGGGTCTTACGCACAATATTCTTGTGGCTTGGATTATTGTACTCGCCCAGGTTAATCACGGTGACTTCCTTCATGTCCACCTTCCACAACAGACCAGCCAGAGTTTGTTCATAGCGATAATGTCTAGGGGAAGGAATGATCTTGTTATAAATATGATAAAATTTTGATATTATTATTTTGGTATTACTTAAGCAATAAAGCTATGGCAGCGATCAAAACAAAGGCAAACAGTGCTGCAGTCACGAGATATCGCCAATCCAGTTTCTTGCGAGGACAGAGCTCTCCGTGAAAGCCGCACATTGGCTCAGCCAGGGGAGGTCGGCCGTTTAGCCATTGTATGGGTCGTCCACTTTTGATATAACGGAACTCCTTAAAGAGCACATACAATTTAAGTTACATAATTCATAAGGGAGCTCAAGTGCTTACTGGTATCTCGGAATCCTTGTTGTAGACGAAGAATCCGACTGGCTGCATCGACATTTGCGCCAGCGAATTTCCGGATCCGGCATTAGCATCGCTCTGTAGGGAAATCACTGTGTAGTTGCCCTCAGCATCGCCATTTGAATCTATGAATACCTAAGTAGTAAGGGGAAGAGTGCTTAAGCCACTAGATAATATCCACAATTGGAAATGTTTGACTCGAATAAGCTGTTGATTCATCAAAGGAATCTACATATACATATATGCATACAAATGTTTTACAACTTTTATGGCCTTTTGCTACGCCTTAAAAGCCAAGTCCAAATATAAATAATTTATATATGATAAGAAAATGGAAAAATAACATGATAACATAATAACATAATAATAATGTTATGAGGATAATAATAACATGAGCATAACAATAATATATACGGGCAGAAAGAGTCATAATACTCTTCTTTTAACCCCAATGTCAATGGGTCAAACATGAATTACATAGAATCTTGCTTAGACTAGATGTAGAATTCTTACATCGAAGCCTTGAATGGAATGATAGGATCTGTTGAAAATGCGACTCATGACTAGAGCCCCATCGTTTATATCGCCGCCTCGCTGAAGTATCTCCGTAACGGCACGCGCATAGATCATAACATTGTCATACAGATGTAGACCATGTATGGGTACCTAAATTTTAATATATATAAAAGAATAATTAGAAAACAAAACAAGATTGAAAACCTCTTTCGTACACACCGAAATATTCTCGAATACTCTCTGATGATAGGGCACACGAAATGGAGCTTTACGTGCATATTCCTTTATTTTGGTACAAATGTCCCTGGAAATATATCAATTCACACAAATTTAATAGATCCTACAAGTATGCACATAATTATATATACAAGTATGCACATAACTATATATAATTGAGTAAAGAAAGAGATTATCTGTATATGGATACCCTGTATATGAAAAAACAGAGCGAAAATAAAATATTTACAAAAGTTTTATAGCTGGAGTTAGATAAGAAAATTACCGAATATGAGGATTTTGTGGATATGTCATGCTTATTTTGATAACTGAACGAAATGAGATTTTATCCAGTGATTTGCTCTTTTCTTTTCTAATATAAGGATCTAAGTAATCTGCAATAAGATATTGCATGCATTAAGACCCAAAGAGGGAAATCAATTGACTGGGTCAAAATGGGTTCAGCTTACTGCGCTCCATAATGTTGACGCGACGATTCGCATTGTAGATCTCATCGTCCACCGAGACAACGATATAGTCTCCACTCTCAAGAAGTCCGCGATTCTGCAAGCAGCGCACAAAATCCACCATGGCAATATGCTCCCCAATAAATACATAGACTGAGGATAAACGATTATCATTGATCCTATCTCATTAGTGATTAGACTTACTGCGCGTCGTCCTGTAGGTCTCCTCGATGATGTTCTCTATTTGGGACAATGTTTTCTTAATGGGTATATAGTCGGATATGTACTTGAAGTGGGTTATGGTGAAGTTACGCGATTCAGCCAGTTCCTGTGTTTTATTTTAGAGTGCAAGAAATTTAAAGTTTCCCCAGCATATAAAAGGTTTGTTGCTTACCTGTATAGCGCTGGCCACATCGGAGCCCCAAATGGGCTTCGAGCTAACCACAATGGCGAATTTTTTCCAATCATAGGCATTTAATAGACTTATCACACTCTTAGAGACCTGTGTGAGTGTTGATATGGGATAAAAAATTCTTTAGTGTAAACATCTAAAGTATATATAAAACCGCCTCAAAAGTAGCCAACCTGGCATTATGTTGATTGCCCCTTGTTGATTTTGCGATTGTATAATTCTTATGAATTTTTGAATATGGATAGAATCAACCACTGGCAAGTCTAATCCTATTCTACAGCTCATTAAATAATAAAAAAATAAAGCTTTGGGAAAGGGTATAATAAGACCCTGCCATATACATAGCATGAGTAACAGGAATATTTAGCTATTTTAAAACAGAGATCATACTTATTAACTGTGAATACTTCTGAAATGGGTACTTTACTTCTATTTCGACTGCATTGAGTATTGCAGGCATAAATATGTTACACTTAACCAGAGGCGTAGGGAGACAATCGATAATGGGGGATGATTGTTATTGAAGGCGTGAAAATTGCATAAATAAATTAATATACGATTCTGGGGTAATCAATATTCTCAATAAATATTCAATAGCAGCAAAAGTCAACAAAGCTGCTGTTGATTTGCTATAGATATGGTAAACACTAAGACCTTACAAAGATATTGATATATTTTGTTTCTATTTCCCATTTTACCTAGAATATTTAATGAGTCTATAGAGAAAGGAAATAAAAACGTAGCTGCAAAATTGTAGCTTTAGATATAATGGAGGGTTTTTCGCGATTTACTACGCAAATAATATAAGATGACAAATTTAATAATAATCAAGCTAGTCAGGTATTGTTGAAAGCAATATACTCTTTTTCCCATAATGAGCGTATATAAGAAACAAGTTTGCTGATATTGATTCTTAAAATATGAAGCCAATCGGGGTTGGGGAAAATGTATAGGATAGACATTATAAAAATATTTTTACTGTTGAGAAATAGTAGTATGTTTATTTATAAATTAGGCTGGGTACCTTTAAGAACCCCCTTTCGAACCTACCTTCGAAGCTGGGGCGAGTGTCCGTGCAAAGGTGGGAAATGTGGTCTTATTGGAGACTATTGAGTCGGAGCATTTCTAAAAGAGGTTAATAAATAAATCTGATTATTTTAATTCGATTTATATCAACTTTAGTTGCACTGACGAACGATAGCATTGGCGTATTCCAGGCCGAGGCCAGCAACGCCTCCGTAGTGCAGCTTTCGTCGGGCCCTATGAACGCGTTCACCTTCTGCTCCCTCAGCTCAGTCATGAGTCTGGAACGGGGTGAAATGAGAAGAGTGGCTTATGGCGGAAACCTGAAAAATTAATTAAAATATACCTCAACGGCTTTAGTCGATATGCGCTGCTCGTGTGTCCCAAGTCGAACGGTGTAAAGGTAAGTGTTTTCCCTGGCAGCAAATTAACATTTTTATTGACATCCTCCACGGCGAGCGGCAGGCCGCCAAGCGTGACCTGTTGACAAAGGGGAAAGAAGAAAAATCGGTGCTTGACTTCACAATTTTATTGAGTATAAATAGAACATGCTTCAATTTTGCACATCTGGAATTTCGAACATATCGAAGCCAAATGAATTGTTTATAGCCTGAGCGTAGTTACGAATCTCGTGATTCTCATTATACTGGGTCAATCGCAGGGCCCTCTTCAGCTTCCTGTGTTGCCGAATAGTTATGAATTCCGTGGCAGCGAATAGTGCGAGCTGTGCGCCCAAGATCGTCAAGCCCGAGATCAGCTTCATGCCCGACAGTTGTTCGTTCCCCAGGCAATTGCTTGCAGTTCGCTCAATCTGCTGCAGCATCTTCCAGCTCCACGGCAGCAGCATCAGCAAGCTCGAGCGCTGCCAGAGCTTCATGCTCGAGCCGCAGAGCCCGCACAGAAGCCTCCCCAATGGACCCAGTTTACGCAGCCCAACAAACCCGTAGCCATAGAAACAGCTGCACAGGGAGAAGACTGTGTAGATGAGACTGCAGAGCAGCTCGTATGGCATCTCCCGGCAGTCGAGCTGAAGCACGCCCAGGAGCTGGCTCATCTCGAGCAGCACAAATATCAAGAGAATGCGATTCGCACGCAGCGCGTGCAAAATGTTCCTGAATCCGCTCAGCATGATAGAGTTTCTTGAAAAGGTTTACTTATCTCACAACTGAGTTCTGAAGGCTTAATCGGTTCCTACTACGAACTCTGAGATCTAAAAACAGAACTTTAATTATAGTTTCGAAGCTGATTGATTGCCATGTATTTTGGAGGGAGGCGACTGAAATTACCCACTAATTGGAGTAGCTAAATGCGAATATGAGTCTGTTTCTCATTAAGAAAAGTTGTATATGTTAGTTAGTACACTCTTATTATAGCATTCGCAAAGAGCTTCGGCTTTCCCTTCGCAAGGACTTTGCCATTTGTCGCTCTTAGCGATAACATTTAAATTATGTATATAAAAAATGCTCGCACGCTTTGGCATTAATAACTGCAAAGTGTCGCTAGAAAGTGAGCTAGTCTCATATATAATGCACTTCTTATTTTCACTTTAATGAGAAGGAGCTTATTCGCTTTTTGTTTTGTTCTTGACAATTGAGATTAAACTGGGCGGGGATCCAAGCTAGATTAGAAAACCAAGGTGTAAAAGTAAGGACTTTATTCAAAGCTCGGTGAAGTAGAATCTTCATATTATGTTAATTATATTAACTATTTTCATTTTCGATAGAAGACTTTTCACTCATATGAGTCATCAGATTATCGCATCCAAATGCTATCTCGTTTACTTTGTTAACCAATCAATTATTTTAAATAAAAAGATGAGTCATTCTATATATGGGAAAAAGAATAAGAACAAGTACGAAAGCTTTAGTCGAAACTGTTCGATTGCGAGAGATTATCTGAACCCTTCGAGGAACTGAACAAAAAACGAAATTCTATAAAATACATATGAGCGTGTATATCATAAGTACCTATGCATTAAAATTTACAAAGCAGATAGTATAATAATTCTTAGGGCAGCTTTCAAATCGCACGACTGGGCGGTCAAAATAAAGGAGAGGGCCAACGTCAAAGCGAGATTACCGGCGGTGCAAAGACTGGTTAGAAAAACTAAACACGAGAAGGGATTAAAATGGAAAACCATTAAACCATATTTTCCCATTTTCACTTCAGGTTCAGGGTTTAAAATCCAGCACTCAATGAGCTTTTTAAATTTGTGCGCCTAAATTTGACCCAAATGCAAAGGATTTGTTCCAGTTGAAGTATGCGCTTTTTCAGACGAAAACGTGTAAGAATATTGTAGTCTAGCTAGACCGACTGCCAAATTCCCATTTAGGCCCTTTTGTAACTTAACTCTCCCATTTTGGAGCTCTAGCTCAAATAGATTGCAAGACATTGCCACAATTAATAAGGCTCGTTATATTTCGTTAACTTTGGAGACTTTTAATTTGCAATGTCTTAAGTCGGCATGCATATATATTTTGGATCTACTGTTCAAAGTTGTGGAGATTACAGCGTATTCTCGGTGTAGCACGTCATCGATGGAGAATGTCAAGACTAACTTAAATAATTTTTAAGCTCGGAAACTTTTGAGGAAATAAGTATGTGTTGTATAAAAGTAAATATATTTTCGTCATATACTTTTATCTTGGGTTCTCAATCTCAGATTTCATACATATATTTCCCGCTAAGAATATAGATATATACACAATGATTTTTTTTATAGATTGTCAACTAGAGGATATGAAAATGTAAGGCCTCTAGTACCTTAAATTTTAAATCTGATATATATATTTAACTATAATTGTCTATAATTCATAAAAACCAATTGACTCTGGTTGCTGATAAACGAAGGTTAAAAGCAGTTGAATTACTTTAACATAACTTTAAATAAACTCATTCAAGTGTGACAATTCTGAAAATATTGAAATTTTCAGTGGAATTTAATGAAAACGCGCATTATGCAGTCGAGTGCACCCGGCAGTCCAGCAACACTAAGCACAGCTCTCATTCTCCCTGTCGCCCTTTGGCGCAGTTACAGGTGAGGCTGGCTGTCAGCGCAGCGTCGTCATGGTAATTTATCCATAAAGTGTAGTCGTCATGCAAATTTCACTTTCAGACCGTTCGACTAAGATCTCATCTTTCACATTGTGTGCATGTGTAAGTGGCGTCTCGATTGCGCTCACTTATAATTTGATTGACGAAATCTGGGAAGCTGAATAGGAAAAATGCATACTTGGCCTATTTATTGGCCATTGACTTGGTAGTCCCCACAAAGGAAATCACATGCCTGAGGGTATCCAGATTTAAACTCCATCTGAATTCCGCATTTATATCACAATCTACTCGAAGATAAGACAAAGCTTGCATAACAAGCTTCAGCCTTCAATATTATGCAGCGCTTAAGAACAAAGAACAAAGGGAAGTAAACTGTTGATACATTAAATTTTATATACATACATACATATATATATAATTTTGAAATAATTTGCAATTGAGATTTATAGAATATGTATGTACCAAAATATATATTTATATTCTTAACCGACTTGTAGAGGTTTTGTATTTATAAATATTAAATAAAACAAATAAAATCTCTGTGAAAGAAAAAGAAACTTGGACTTTTCTGTTTTAATTTTTATGTAAATCCAGCAATGTGTTTTATTTTTTTTTTTTATAAATCCAGCAATGTGTAAAAGTGGTAAATATTTGAGTTTTGTATTATCAATCAATTTAGAACTGAGGACCAGTAAATTGAAAAGTAGGTGAATTAGAAACGCTATGAAACCAAAATGTTGACCAAGTCCAGTTATAAGGTCATTAGGCTATCAGTAGTTGGCTTAAAGTACAGTATCTTCAGGCTGAAGATACGGAAAAAGGAAAATAAAAACATGGAAAGTGTCTTTCATATAAGCCTAAACCAATATGTTTATTCATGATAACGATTGATATTTGTTCTACAAATCAAAAGATACACCTGGACGGTAAGCAAAAAACTCCACTAATTAAAAGCACTGAAAACGGTAGGATCATCTTGGTGGGATTTACTGTGATCCACGGTCTGTTAACACTATCAAATGTTGGCAAAATCGACATTAAAATGCATGAAAAACTTTGATTTATAAACAAAATTTCAGAAGTGTTTTGTGAGTTTTTTTGTTAAATATATATAATTGATTTAACTCCAAAATTACTGAGTGTTTAATGCGTATTTAAAGTTTTTAACAGTCATTTTAACGTGGGTTTGGTCAACATGCATCCATACGTGCTCACCAACGCATATCTAAAGGAAAATGTAATTAACAACCAATCAATATATCAATATATACACTGGCACTGCGACATCCTACTACCAGATATTGTTTATTCCGTTTATTGCAGTTGTCGGCCTGAACTGCAAACATTTTACTTCATATGAAGAACCCGAAAATGTAATTCTCTAAAGATTAAAATATAATATAACGAAAAGTTTAAGAAAATGTATTTAAAAGGAGCTGAATATTTTATTTGATACTAGGTTAATTATCATTCAATTTAAATTAAATAATATTTAAAATATATTGTATTATAATTATAAATAATAATATATATTAAAATAAAATTCGTATGTATATCTTTTTTCCATTATATATTAAATGAAATTCGCAATTATTCATTTGCTTTATAAGATTCTGAAATACGGACTTAATTTTGGGTTCATTTTTTTATATGTGTTTACAATAATTATATTTTTTTATCGAGCTTATCTGTTTGATTTTGAGATAAAAAATTAGTCTCATATACTATTTATAATGATATATATTTATTTTTAATTTGTATTATTTCATTATTTATAGTTAAATTTCATCTACATTTATTGTATCAATTTTTTATATGCATACATAATTGTTTACTAATATTAAAATTATAAGTCAAAATTAAATTATTTATTTTATTTTATTTATTTATTGTTTTTTAATATTTTTAACTGGCACATTTTATTTTATTAGATTTGACTTTAATTTTCTATATTTTCGTATTATGTATATTGAGTTACATTTTAATTTGCGAACGCGACTCACCCGCATCTGAGAGTATTCGGCTAGGAATCCAATATTTATTGTGTCTTTTGAGGCTGCTGTGCAGTTGCGCGGCGAGGAGGACAGCGCGGCGATGGCCACAAGGATGAGCCGGATATTGCGAGAAATGCGATTGCGTGTCATGTTAACCGGACACATTACACTGGCGGAGGCGCAAAGTTAATGGCAGTAAAGTTTTTCGTAAGCCGCCCGGGACACTTACGCGGTAACTCTAAAGGGTTTACGAGTCAAGAACACTGCACTGAACACGGCAGCTGCATTTCCTTCAACCTGCCTTCAACCAGTTGAGGGCATTCAGTTTAAAAACTCCGCTCCTCACTCGCTTCACTTGCTTCACTTGTTGCGTTGTCCGTGTCGCGCTATGCGTGGTGCGTGGTGCTTTGAGCTTTGTGCGTTGTTGTTCGACTGCGTATCCAATGCGACTGCCGCTCGGCTGCTGGCTGCTGGGTCCTTTTATGTCGTTGGTTTCGTGGGGCGCCGCTTCCTTTCGGTTCCGGCAACAAACGCAAGGGGGCTGCGGCTGCGGCTGCGGCTATGGTTACGGCTCTGGCGCTGGCTCTGCGCGCCAAAATTAAACGTCGTATGACTGACAGCGGCCACTGTGGCGAGATTCGCGCTTTGCGTGGGTGGTCCTCATGCGGACCAGGACGACACAAAATATCAACCGAAAAAACACGTACTGCTTCGTCGAAATTTTAATTAAGAGTGACCTAATGGTAAATAATTTTTGTTTTTCAATCCGTTAAAGAGTTAAATTGAGCTCAACTGGGTTTAATTTGTGCAGCCATAGGTGTCGCTGATGCCCACGCTACTGCTTTCAATCTGTTTATGCTCCATTGTCAGTTCCTATGTAATCCTGTGAGAGCTCTTGGCCATTGGGGTGGGCATCGGACACACGTGTTTCGGCTTGGACACAAGTCTATTTGCATATCATTTACTCTAGTTCAGGGTCAGTTGGTTGAGGAATTACCTACATGAGGGGCCCGGGACTGTAACTACGTTGTTTGAATACTCGTTTGACTCATTTGAAGTTATTTTTAAGCACTCTCTGCTTGTCTGGGTTTAGGCACGGCTCAGGTTTTCATTTCTTCTACGCAGCCAATTGAGTCGAGTCGAGTGCCTAATGCGGACTCAATTGACATAGGCATTTCCCCGAGTTTAATTGACTTAGCACCGAGTATCGCGGTAATTTAATGCGTCTTTGAGGACTTTTAAGTACATTTCATCAGCCTCACATGTTGGCTCACTGAGTCCGGGTTACGGCTCAGTGGGTTGCGAAGGAAAAACACGATATTAATTTGAATGTGAGTGTAATTGAATCAGTTATAAAGTAAGACAAATAAATTCGCCGGAATTACTGGTAATGAGCAGTTATAAAGTAAGACAAATAAATTCGCCGGAATTACTGGTAATGAGCCAGTGCATCCTTGTTGATGACTCCGGCGTAGCTGGTGTACTTTGGCGAGGTGCCGTTCAGTGCGATGAATTGCTCCGCTACCTCAACGGCGACGCGCACTTGCGCCTCGGCCGTGCTGGCTCCCAGATGGGGCGTGGCCACGACTTTGGGATGATTGATGAGCGCCTTGGTGACCTCCGACTTGGGTGGCTCCTCCGCGTAGACGTCGAAGGCGGCGCCAGCGCACTTGCCACTCTCCAGTGCATCGAGAACCGCCTGCTCGTCGATGATGCCGCCACGTGCCACATTGATTACCTTCACGCCTTGCTTGCACTTGGCCAAGGACTCCGACGAGATGAGATCTGTGGGAGAAGGGAATGTCTTAGACGTCGTGTCATTGTCGGACAGGTTAATCAACTGACTTCTGGTGGCCGGTATCAGGGGGGTGTGCACAGTGATGTAGTCTGCGAGGGGCCAGATCTGCTCCAAGGTAAGCTTCTCGATGCCAACAGCCTTGGCCTCGGCCTCCGTGGTAATGGGATCGTAGCCAATTATCTAACATTTGAGCGTATGAACAGCTATTAGCCAAAACTGAACAAATTGATTGAGTCAATAAGGCGTTACCCTCATGCCCCAGGCCTTCATGCGTATGGCGACTTCGCGTCCGATGCGGCCCAGACCGAGCACGGCGAGGGTTTTCCCATAGAGCTCGTTGCCACTGTAGAGCTTCCTGTCCCAACGTCCTTCCTTCATGCTCTGGCCGGCTGGCACGACGGGACGCGCCAGAGCGCCAATTAGGATGCACGTCAGCTCACAAGCCGAAATAGAATTGCCGCCTGGTGTGCTGAAAGTAAAGCACACTAAGCATTAGGTCTCCTTCGGAGTGGTGCGGGGAGGTACTTGTTTTGACTAGACAGCGTTATGCAAATGTCTAAAATATCGCGTACTCGCGCAGTATCCTTGGCAATCCAGGCGGCTCAATGCCAATAAAGCACTCCACATGCACATCAACATCCACCCACACCCACACCCACACCAACCCATCCCATCCCAGTCTAGCCCAAACTCCGCCGCACAAAATATGCGCGCCGTCTAATTATGCGTGGCAAGCAGCCTAATATGACCCGTCACATCGTTCAATATAGCGCCAGCCGAGCATTCGATGCGACATTTGTGCATATTTGCCTTTCGCCTCTGTCTCTGCCTTTCGCCTTTTGCCTTTTGCCAATGTTGTTCTTTTGTTGCCTTTGCTTTACTCCACAGGCAAGATTCACTTACTTAAGGACAACGACATTATGCGTCGTCGCTGCAGCCACATCGATGTTGTCCACTCCAGCACCCGCTCGTCCCACGACCTTCAGGCTCCCAGCTCCAGCCGCAAGCACTTCCGCTGTTATCTTTGTATCCGAGCGCACGATGGCAGCGTCGAAGTTCTGTTTGGGAGATTATGGTAAACAAGTGGTTAGCGGGTATGAGAAATGCACATGCAACATGTCGACCAGATATGCATACATATACTCGAGTGTCTATCCTCAATAATATATAATAAGAGCAGTAATCGAAAGAGAGGAATGCCTGAAGGGCTCTAGCTCCTTAGATAATTCAATGCCAAACTTGTCTATAGATTTGCCATAATTGCCTTTGATATTTCAACAAGTCCAAGTGGTTGTCGGTCAGGCAGATACCCTGTAATTACTTTCAAACATATGTACATATGGCAATTATTGCCGAAATGATGGTTCATCTTTCAGTAAATTGATATTAAAAAAAAACCTGTCGAAATGTAGAGAACTTCAGTTTATGAAGGTCTCAATGCCAAATTTATTTAAAGTATCACACCGGGGACCTTTTCTAAATCCAGCTGAACATTTCTATCATGTATTGGCTAAATATCAGGAAAAATCACAAAAGCTCGAGGTTATTACATATGGAAAAGCCAGTATTTTTGATCCTAAACTTAAGCAAAGCAATGTGAAAAAATCATTTTTAATTTAAATATATTAATTATAATAAATATTGTAAATAATGCAGACATTATTGGTACATTTTACGCGCTCCGTTTGCTTCTTCTTTCCAGTTCAATTTATCGGAATACTCTATTGTGAATTACTTGCTGGGGCACATTTTTCGCTTTAGAATGTTTGTATGATCCATGTATATTTGAGTTCACATGAGCAGTAAGCACTTTATGACTTAGGGAATTGGAATGGTGTCCAATAAGTGGGGTATACGTTGTTTGTACAGTGAAATATTGTTAGGACAAATTTTAAGTGATACCACTGACTGTTGTTTGGTCAGTGGTGATACCATATCTGGTCCCATTTGCGCAACTAAAGCTCGATATCATTTTCAATCGATTTCAAAGAAACAATAAATGCATTGATTTATGATTATTTAAATGGTAATTGCAATAAGAGACTGTAGTTATACAATTGCAAGATTTCCAGCTCTTACGGACGGACGAAAGAAACGAATTGGATCGCCTCTACTCCTGTTAAAAGGTAAATATTATTTATAGGATCAATTACGCAGTTATTTATGCTATCGATCACGCCGCAATATTATTATATTTATTTTATTATTTCTATTTTTAATACCGTATTCGAAATTTGGCTTTACTCTAACAAGATAATGTTTGACAATCAAATATATTTTCAGCCCATAAACACTCGAATACGCGAGCTTTATCGTAATCGCGGGCTATTGACATTCGCACCTAGAACAACTTGTTAGCTGATAACCGTTTCCGGTTCGAATGGCAACGCTGAACTTGCACCGGTTTGAACCAGTTTCGGCTTCTGCGCACACAGCTTGAATTATCTCAATCGTTTTAGCTCGACATAATTAATTGTTTTATTGCCGAATCTTTGATAAGCGTACTATGAGCTCCATAATCAAGTCTCAATCGTCTGCCTCTCTCCTGGTCGGCTCCCGCCTGAAGGCGCGCATGCGCTCTACGGGCAAATGGCACATGGCCGAGATCGTTGGCATCAAGGAATTGGACGAGGGCCGGCGACAGTTCTACGTGCACTACGACGGTTGCAATAAGCGCCTTGACGACTGGCTTAGTCAGGATGATCTCGATCTGAGCTGCGTCCGGATCGCTGCCCGTGAGAGCCAGCAGAGCACAACCCTTGTTAGCGCCGCACTCTCCCAGCGTCCGGCTTCGGTGATCGGCCCGAGTTCAACAACAGAGGGCAAACAACAACAAGAAGATCAGCCGGAGACTGGAGCATCTACATCCAAAGGATGGGCCAGGGGTCGCAAGCAGTTGAAATTAGTGGATAAAATTGAAAGCGCCGCAGTTGCTGCCCAGGGGCGCAGTAAGCTGCTAGAGTTGCGTCAACTGAAGCGCGCGAATAACATTGTGGCATGCATCAAGAATGTGAAAATGATTGAGCTGGGGCGTTATCGTATTGCCCCCTGGTACTTTTCGCCCTATCCCGAGCAGCTGTGCCATGAGGACTGCATCTACCTGTGCGAATTCTGCCTGAAGTATTGCAAAAGTCGCTTGTGCCTGGGACGTCACTTGAGCAAGTGCACTCTGAAGCATCCACCTGGCAGCGAGATCTATCGGAAGGATTCGATATCGTTCTTCGAGATCGACGGGCGCCAGAACAAGCTGTACGCCCAGAACTTGTGCTTATTGGCCAAGTTGTTTCTGGACCACAAGATGGTCGACTTTGACACCGATCCGTTTCTGTTCTACGTGTTGACGGAGTTCGACTCTCGTGGCTTTCACATTGTCGGCTACTTCTCCAAGGAGAAGATCAGCGTCGAGGACTACAACCTGGCCTGTGTCCTGACGCTGCCGCCGTATCAGCGCAAGGGCTACGGCAAGTTGCTCATCGAGTTCAGCTACGAACTATCGAAATACGAGGGCAAAACGGGAACGCCAGAGAAGCCGCTCTCCGACCTGGGCCTGCTCTCCTATCGCTCCTTCTGGGCACGGGCCATTCTCGAGCTGATCATCAAGCAGAACCAATCAGCTGCCGAGGGCGTGCGACCCTCGACAAGCATCAATGATATTTGCGAGCAGACGGCTATCAAAAAAGATGATGTAATCTACACACTGAAATGGCTTAATCTCCTGACCTACTGCAGGGGTCAGCACATAGTCTGCATCAGTCAGGATGCCATCGATCAGCACCGAGTTGCCATGGAGAAGTGCAAGCTACGCATTGATCCCACCCGCTTGCAGTGGAGCCCCAAGGACTGGAGCAAGCGAATGAATCGCGTGCTCGAGCGTTAGCTAATAATGCTTTGCTAGGCAAAAGTTCATTGAACGCATGAAACGAATCAAAATAGAAGCTGATAAGAGAAACAAACAATACGAAGTATTGTTATACGTTATAGTATATATATGATATATGCTATTCATTTTAATTTTGTAATTTTAAAATGTCAATAGAAACAATAGAACATTAAGCTACGTTTTCAGGGTTTTCCAAAGTTCATAATCGCGCTAACTTTAACAGACAAGATCATACATTTAACGCATTTAACATATGTAAATACAGGCATAACATACATCCATATACACTGCATACCTACACTCACACTCATTTTCATTATATGTGCTATTCTCTGCAAAAATAATCTCTAAGAAGTAAGAAATATGTAAATGGAATTAAATTTAATAAACAGCAAAATGCTTATGCAAACGTTATCAATGGAAATATTTACACAGTGCAACAGGCTTGACAACAGCGACGTATGTACATATGTTTGTATGTATTATTAATACGGTTAACCACACGTGTTGGCGACAGAGGAGCACCTTTAGAGCACACGCCCACATACATACATATGTATGTATGTACATATGTGTGTCTCTGTTAAGGCATTTGATATACAACTTTAAAATATGTAAGTACATACACGTACAGATACGATTACATGTATTATATAATCACCTTTACTTCCTTGCAGAGCTCATCCACCGGCAGCTTCAGCTTGTATGTAACCTGAACAAAAACCACATACACAATAAATACATATACATATAATCACTTTTATCGTACACATATACATATGCACGTATATACAAACACATATGTATGTGTATACGTATACATGTGTGTGAATCATATACATATGTACGTATCATATTAATGGACTTACATTGATGCCGTTCTCTTCCAGGAGCTGGACACACGCCTTGTCGACTGCATCGCAAACCAAAACATTTTTTATTTTCAGCGGCATATTTGCAGAAAAAATAACGAAAGTCTTGTAAAATGCTTGAAAAACAACTAATACAGAAGCACTTTGGAGAGCTTACACGCACTGCACTGCTGGGCTTGCAATCAACTAATACAAAAGCACTTCGCGGAGCTCTTCACACGCACAGCACTTGTCGCACTGAGCTTAATAAGTCAACTGATTCGGCGTGTGAGAGTGAACAGGCGGCGAAATGGCTGGAGAGCAATTGCGACGGTGACTGCGCAGTCAGCGTTGAGGGGCTGCGTTCGTATGAGCTCTGATCAGTCGATTAGCCGCGATATGAGGCGGCACCGGCGTTTGCTCTCTCCTTGCTCACCAATATTCGCAGCTCAGCTCAGCGTAGTTAATGAAGTAAACAAGCTTACACACACATACGTGACATGGCGTAAGCATGTGCATATGCATATGCATATGTATGCATGTTCTTGACATCACGAAAACAAGTTTAACCCATTGCGTGTTACATGGGTTAAGAGGCGGCACAGTACATATCTCACTCAGTATGGCTACGTCATGGATGTTGTCAGCCGCTGGAAAGTTCATTTGTTGATATAGGAAACATTTATGAAGGAAGTAAACACTCGTATCAGAATCAGATGTTGTCTAGTGAACTTTTGATTAGATTAGACCTTTATTTATTTCAGATTGTACCTAGTTGCAAAAATAATTTCAATGAATAATGCTCAGGTTCGTTTTATTTTAATTGGTTTTATTTGCAATTTAGCATTCATTTAACTACATACTCGTATCTTTTCAATTTTGTTTTCTCATTTTAAATTATACTTTTAGTATTTTCATAGTATTTTTTTTTAAACAAAACAACGGAAACCATACGAACCTAGGGTAGATTGCAATTTTCTTTCCATACATATAAGGAAATTCAGATATCGTTAACTATTTACAAACGATTATGGTAAATTTATCGGTTTTTACAATATATATCTGTATACGTAAAAAATATTCTATATAAATTTGGATTGATAATTTTCAAATTTTTGTAATTTGTTGGTTTTTTTTTATTTTCACCCATTTTGGTTTTTAATTATAGCTTGAATTATAATTTTATCGAATACGGAACCTCAGGCGTGCTTTACTTTACTTTTATTTTGTAATATAAATTTGTTTGCATATACTTATTGCTGTTAAAAAAATAATGCTTGCATTTATTAGATTGGCTAAATGAAATGGAGTTCTCGTTAGCAAAATTGTGTTTGAATGATGAAATATGAATTTCGTATTTCTGTGTCTGAAATATGTATTGCAATACCTCTCAGGTATTATCGCTATAAAAATTGCTTGTGTTTGTGTGTGTGTGTGTGTGTAAGAGTAAGTCAACGAATTATAATATTTGAATTGTTAATAATTTATTTTTATTTTGGATTAGATTGAAACAAGTTTGCAATATTCAAAATAAATCCTTTCAACATTTTTATTATTTTTATTTATATTTCATTATTATAGTATTATGCAAAAGTTTTTGAATTATAGTACTATTGGTAAAGTGGTTTATTTAAATTTTGTTATTTATAGCAGAATACATTTACATATTTATATTTTTTAACTTTATTGTGAGTTACCAGTTCTGTGAATTATTCATATGAATAAATTTTAATTTGTATAATTTACATATGTCTGTATGTATATGCCATACTTAGTATATGTATGTATATGTTATTGTTTTGTCTATCATATTTTGTGTGTGTGTGTTGGGTTCTTTAATTATTATTTACTTATTTAGGTATTTATCCTCCGTTCGTGTTTGCTCCATGAACTTCAAGCTAATATTAAAAAGTAATTTTTCAGTATATTTAATTATAGCTAAATAAATAAATTTGTTGCCACTTTGTACAAGAACTGTTGTAATTTTCATTTATTTCTTTATTAATTTTACTTTATAATATATATGTATATGCATATCGCCTTAGCATTTGCCCCATACTCCACGCTCCTCCCGTTCCATTCAGTGTGGAAATCCTAAGCATTTTTATTGCGAAATGAACTGGTCTCTTGACATTTTCCTTAATGCTCGTTCACGATGTTTATTGTTTATTTATGTCTTCTGATAAGATAAACATTTTTGGAGTACACATATAGATCTGTTTGGATCTAGGCATGTCATTAAAAAGTATCTTCCTCAGTTTAAGAACTGGATATATGTATGTATATCAGTTGAACTCCTCTATAGGATATTTCACTTAGCTGACACTTCGGAAAATATTAAAATAACTTTGCAACTTAGTTGCTTTTAGAGCGTGAACGAGTATTGGGCAGTCGGTAGCGTCCGACTGCAATGTTGCTTTACTTGCTTTCTTCTATATCCAAGTGATACAAATGCTTGTAGTGCAGGTCTATTAAGTATGTTCGAATATGCGTGTACTATGTATATGGGTATATGTAATATTGTTCATGTGTTTTTTTTCTCGATATTTATAAGCTGAGCATAGTCCTGAAGTTCTATGTGTTATACCAGGCTCTTTCATTAGGATACTTATGTATTATGATTTGTTTCGGTACTATATGGATCAATTAAAAAAACCAATATTAAAATCTAAACACGTTCTTTCATATTATTATTATCGCTTTTTATACATATGCACACTTGCCTATAAGTTCTTTGTTTTGTATGGGTTGAACACTTACGAATTTTCGCCATATAGTTGCTTTCACTTTTATGTTTGCTTCTTTGTTTTGTTTAATACAGTTCTTATCAAAATGTCAGTTTTTTGAGAGGTCTATATTTCTTTTAGCCCTCATATATTGTATATAGCTTATATTCACCGATTTTACAATATATAATTTTTTTCGCTTTTGCTTTTTTTTTTTTTTTTTTGTATTCTTAAAGCCAGTTCCTTTAGCTCAAAATGCTCCATTGTAGGTTTTCACATCAATTAAGGGCGACTTGAAAAGTTGAAACCAATTCAAACAAACATTTTGAAGTGGAAATATATCACAACTTGAAGAGTTAAAGATCTTGATTGTAAGAGATAACAAATACTTGAGACCAGAATTTTACATTATTTTTTATTTTAGTACAAGAAGTCGCCCTTTTGCCATATTCTCACTTAATTTTATAGGGAGTGCAGTGATCAATCAATAATTCGCCTGTCGTCAGGTTGTCCCTACCCCCCGTCCTTCAAGCACAATCTATTGCGAGGCTTTCGTAAAGGTAGCTTGCCAAATGGTCTTAGTTACAGGTGTGGAAGGTAAGGCTACTTAGCGCTAAACAAGCTAACACTGGAGGTTCAGGGGAGTTTTGAACTCCCATTAAAGTCGCGATCGATTTGAATTCAGTGTTGAAATTGTTGAAAACCTTTGATCAATTCGTACAGGTGGTTGGAATTGTATAAAGAGTGCTCGTTTGGAATGGGCCAGATCAAGAAACATACTTACAATAGTTTCTCCATAATAGTATAATGGCTAATGATTGAATCGCAACGAATCGCCAAGCACGCAAAGAACGTAATAAGCAGCGAGGGCAATGGGGAATACAAGCTCTAATATGATGAAAACCAAATATGTATATAACAAAAATCAAATGCTCAAGTGCAATATATAATATAGTGTTTCTATTAGTGTTTTTTTTTTGTTTGAATGGTTTTCTTTTTGTTAAGGCACTGGTAGTATAGTAATTGCTGTACTCAAGCAACTAACTAAAGCTGGAAAGATTGTAAGAAAAAGAAGCGAGAGGAGATTACAATAACAATAACTAAGTAAAGAGCTAAGTTAGAGAAGATCAACTTGAATTATAGGAAGTGGACTTCGATACAGATTACGAAGAGCGTAGATTTAGCGTAGAATTTACAGACATTTCGCAGACATTTCAGCAAATTCAGATTTGTTTTATCAAAGAGATTTCATTCGATTTGCTTTGTTGTGATGCGTGTGTGTGTGTGTGTGTGTGTGTGCCTCTCTTTCCTTCTTCTGCACTTAGAGATTATTATATAGTAGTATGTTCACTAAATTATTAAAGCTGCCACTTAGTTTATCTTTTTCTTGCATAAAAATATATATACATATGTATATATATATATATGTCTGTGTATGTGTTTATATATATATATAATATATAACTACTATGATGATTCCCTCCCACTATACATTCCCTCCCTCCCCTCAAAAATTGTTGTGGCGAAATGCATCAACAAATGTTTAGGTGTAAATCTTATGCTTAATTCTCAATTATTTCATTTATATATATATATATGTATATAAATATATACATATATAACATATATATATATATACATATACATACATATACATATACGGTTTGCTAAATAAAATCTCATCTCACTTAGCTACATATAGTATTTAAGACACATAAGGCTGTACTTAGCATTGTGCTATTCATCATAAATTATGTAAGTATTTCCATCCCGACGATTTCCGCTAGGAAATTCGAATGGGTCTCTCCCGTATCCCGTATCCCGCCTCCCGATGGAAATGTACAAATGTGTTTTGGCACTGAAATAAGTATGCTCTACGTGTGAATGGATATCGGTATATATACATACATATATATGTATATATACGGTTCATTTCAAAATTGATCTTACTAAATTTTTAGGGAAGTTCTACTACGTAAACATATTGTGCAATGCCCCCTTCCATTCAAAATATCAGTTGTTTTGTGCCTGGTGCCTCGCTAAATCTCTTCAATAAAACCTATCTGGGGTCAGTATATCCTCTTCGTCCTCCTCAACAATAATCTTATTACGTATTGCGTGGGTGACTGCATCGATTTGCGAGAAGGATGACGATCTCCAATCATATTCCGCGGCTGTACTTTTTGGTCTGTTTCTGTTTCGGTTTCGATGGACGTCGCTGTCGCTGCACGGCGGGTGACTAAATGAGGTGCTTTGGAACGTATCGCTGGGATAGAGTTGGGAGCGCGTCGATAGGGATGTGTGGGACTGTGTGCGACTGGAAGTGTACGAGTGCGGGTGTTGATACTGGCTCTGGCTGTGTGGTCGTGCCTGCGGGTAGGACAGTGGCTGGTGTCGCAACGGAAAGTGTTCGCTGGGCCTTGGCTGACCGATCGAGGCTTGCGACAGGGAGAACGACGGGGATGACAGCCACTGGCCGCCGCTGCGCTGCCTGGCCAGGAATGAATGCTGCGAAGGATGCGCCTGATGCGACTGAGTTAGAGATTGAGATGGATGCTGAAGCTGAGGCTGAGCCGGAGTTTGACTTTGAGGCTGATAGTGGGATTGTGATTGCTGTCGGAGCAGCGGTTTGGGTTTGGGTTTCGGTTTGTGTATCATGTCAAGATCAAAACTATTGTCACGTGCTTCCATCAAACCTGGCGCTTTCGAATCGATCTGATCCCACCCCTATATCCACGATTCCTACATGGCATTCAGCATTCTCCTACTACTTCCACCACCTCTGTGCGGACTGTATTCATCGCGATCGCGATCGACCACAGTGGCTGCTCGCGCCATGTCCCGCGGATCGTCGATGCGTGTGGATGGTCCGGGTCCATAGCGTGACCTTGAGCTGCCCAACAATCTATCGTCGCGCTCAAAGTCTGTATCATCCAGCAGTCGACCGCCACGCGACAGGTGGCCATGGTGGGAGGCGCCGCTCGGCCCGCTGCGCATTGCCGGATACTCAAAGTTGCGCTCGTCCAGCATCTCATCGCTGTTCAGATCGTAGTGCATCAGATCTCGATCCCTGGCGTGCAGTCGCTCCCGTTCCTGTCGCTCGTATCGCTCTCTGTCGCGCTCGTAGCCAGCGGCATGGCCGACTCCGACACCTCCGCTGCCGCGCTCCTGATGTCGCCCAGAGACCTGACGACGACTGTGATGATAAGAGGCACCTCCTGCAAAATGGTTAACACACAGATTCGTTAGTATCGAGTTCTTCATTATGCTAAATCAAATAGAAATCCAACGCATAGGTAAACCAAACTCAAATTCAAACTAAAAACAATACGGAAAAGCAAAGCATTCGAACGCATCAATTGGCAAAGGTAAAATTCTTCAAGGTCACTTGACGTTTTAGTAACACGGGAGAGTGCATATGGTTTGCGTGGTATTCTAACTATATATATGTATATAGCCGTATTGCTATTTAATCATCAACTCCCTTAAGTTAGTAATGTTATTGATTTACTAAGACTTATTTTATTTTTTGTGGTGGATTAAATTTTTTTTTAAGCAAAGCTAGCCGAAAAATAAGTTATTATTATTCATAATTTAATCTTGTATAAAAATGGGTTGAAAGGCTTGTGTGTTACTCTCTGTAGATTAGAAATAAAAAATTGTACAATAGTGGAAAAGTACTAGATTATCATCATCTTGCTCTATCAACTAATGATGGAAATTATGCAACTAAAAGGAAAGCATTCTAGGTAGTTAAAATGGAGGAATTGGGGAAATGTGGTACATAACCAATAATAAAACATCTGGGCGGGGTTACATTAAACAGAATAAACAAAAGCCTTTTTATGGGTTACGAAATACTCACTAAGCCAACCTTATGTGTGTCTAAAATAACGAATATTATTTTGTTTCTTTCTTTTTTGATTTGGTTTTTTAACTAACTCGAAATGACGAACGGTAATAAAAAGTATTGAGCTTAAACAAACACAAGATATTAAACTGAGTTGATTTGCTGAGCCTGACAGACTGGACCCGAGCAATGTAGGAATCGAGTAGAAGGACGAGGACGAGAGGACACTAGAGGCGCACGACGCCAGGAGTAACTAGAAACGAGTACAAAACATGGCAAATGCACATTTAGACAATTACAATTTATTTATATATATACGTTGATACCGAGTCGCATCTGTGGACTCTATGAATAATGGTTAATGCATTGGAGAAAGCACAGGGATTCGAATGAATCACGGTTTAGTAGTTGTTAGCAGAACTCGAGCAGAAACTATAGAAAGAGTATAAAACCAATCTTAAAGATTATTGTTAATAGGTTTTTAGTGATCAAGGGGGCTACGGAATGCGCCCTATAAATATGTATATATGGGATAGAAAGAACGCTTCCTACGGAGTTGTGCACCTCAGTGAAACTCGAGCTCTAGTTCGAGTCGTTTTCATATCTCTTTGTTGATCTCCGTGAATTGGGGCATTCGATAGCGAAAACTGGAACAGACTCTTTCGTTTCGGATAGTTATTTGTCATTTTCTTTGTACTTTTTGTTGATGTCGCTTTCGTTTGATTTTGTGTCGATCTTGGTAATTGGATTGAAATTATAGCATTGTTGTAAAGGAACCGGGTATGTCTCGTGCTGTGAATGCTGTGAAGTGTTTGGCATAAAAGAACATGTATATAAATAAGAAACCAATGAAAACTCAATTGTTAAGAATCTTAAACTCTAGTTGAAACAAATAGATAGAAGAACACAGTAAAACGTATCGATTGGGTAAATGAAAACATCGAGAGAATAGACTATCAAATAGCATATTATGAATTTTTAGGTGCCCTACGGTCTAAATAATCTAAAAACCATAAAGAATGAACGGGATCTTGTAACATAATAAATAATTCATCTGTATATAAAATATAGTTGGATATGAAGAAAATAAAGTTCCTGCAAATAGCAAAGTATTAAAATATCAAAGTGTTAAGTATATAGTACTGTTAGAAAAGCTGAGCTATGTATACGATATATCTATAGGTGAGACATTGAAACTCTATGGCAAATATAGTTCAATAATAAACAACAGGTTCAACTAAGTCACCAATAAGAATACTGGTATTTATGCATGTATATGACGTTTAACGCTATTTGAGAAAGTTTTACGTATAGATTTGCTGTTCAAAATTATGCGATTATAGTATAACCAAATGAAAAATAACATTAGAATTTACCTTGGTCCCAATCGAACTCTCTATCCCAATCCCTTTCTCGCTCTCTTTCCCATTCGCGTGCTCTCTCGCGCTCCCACTCCATGTCCCGCTCTCTGTCTTTCGAACTGCGATCTCTGTTGAACTCCCTGTCCCAGTAGTCGCGTTCATTGTCCCGTTCCCTTTCCCTACTGCCACGCTCTCGCTCCCGTTCCCGATCCCGATCCCGACTACCCTCACGTTCGACACTCGCCATTCGTGGCTCGTGCTCTTCAAACTCCTCGCCATCTACTACTTGCGCAGACACGCGAATGCGGAGAGAGAGCAAGAAGAAGCATCGATTGGTTTGTTTGTTTTATTGTTTATCGGTACAGTCATGGGAATTTGAATTTGAGAAAGACAAATTTTAGAATTGTATTTTGTACGAGCATATACGAGTATGTGGTTTGATTAACATTGTGAATATTCATGTTTTGCAATTGTGAAATGAGTATTTTTTGTTATTCTTAAATTGTATGTAAGTTAAATACTGTTTGGTATTATGTCGAAAACAAAAGTAAAAATAAATTAACTCAAATCATAAATGCATATCTAGTTGAACAGATCAGATCTGAGATCGAATTGTGACTTCTTTTTTCGTTTTTCAATGAGCTTTCAATTGCCAAAACGGATTTGTGAATGAGAGAGTGGATATATATATAGAGTGGGCAATCGGAATTGATTTCTTGAATATAGTTCACTTTTGTCTTTTTCTTTTTCTTTTTTGTTTGCGAAAAGGGGATACGATACACGTATGAAGATGACAATGCGCTCACTAAATGAACACATCCTACAGCAGCTTCAACTTTACCTGGTGGTGTTGGACCCAAGCGCGCTGGATCGGCAGAGGGCGATGCCGACACCTCCTGGGACGGTATCGGCCTGGCAATGGCCGGTACGGTGGACCCAGCGCGTATATCTGGATGCGTGGCTTTCCAATATGTCTGCAGAAGTCAGATAGGTGAATACAACTGATATATACTAGATATTATACTTAGATACTTACCTCCAAGTATTCAGCTATGTGCTCGCAGGCATCTTCCAATTGGTTCTCGTCTAAAATTACATCGAACATTTCGGGTGGACATTGGGCTAATTTTTCAGCGGCAACCATTTGTACGGATAAGTTTTTAGCTTGTGATTTGCCACGTGATTTGATTAAACGCTGTAAAACCTGCAAATAAATTATATTAATTTACTGTCTCTCTCTCTCTCTCTCTTTTTGATTTATCCGAATTGAATTTTTACTTACCTTACTACTACTAATCTTTAAGTAAACTATTGTTGGCGCTAATGAAGTTTTTGCTAATTGTGACGGATGATTGATTGTATCACAATCGAGTACGACCAGCTGCAGGGAACGGGCCAGCTCAAAGATGCGCTCGATCTCCTCTTGGACCTTGCCCAGACAATCCGACCGACTGCTGGAACGCTCCATGATGGCACGCTTTGATGGATTGTTCATGATCGAGCGTTTCGCTAGTGATATATCGGCCATGACGCGCGTGATGATGATGCGTCCTTCGAAGCGATGCTTGAGGAAATCAAACAGCGCCTTTTGCATCATGTCGGTTACCTCGTAACCCTTAAGGCTTGGACCCACTAAAACAACAGGACGCATCGATGGCACCACATCGTACGGGCTGGCTGTCTCCTGTTTCTTGAAAAATGGCTTGCGCTTCTCCTTGTTGGGCGGCGTTGCTAACGGTGTCTTGCCATGACGTCCTGGTCCCATGGAATCTGATTCGTCACCTGATTGTTAGTATCATATTCGAATAGCCAGAGAGAAGAGATAATGGCAACGGATGAGCGATTTTATGATTTCTACATACGACGATCGAGCGCTACGAGTTGCCAAGCCAATTTACAACTAAAGTTCTTGTTTAGTTTTTTTTTTCTTTACCAAATATTTGCTTTATATACAATTCATATATACAAGTAATTTTTATTGGAAAGATACAAAAATTTCACTGTGTGCGTGTGTGTATTCAATTGTTTCTGTGTGTGTGTGTGTGTGTGTGGTATCCAATTTTGGGAAGCAAGATTTTATTTGTAATTTGCAACCGTACCACGCGATATTGAAATGCTGTTGAAATGCCAACTCGAGGATGAGATTCAGTCTAAAGCATATCTTAAGTCTAAGGATATATGAAGTGAGTGGCCAAAAGATTTGCCCATCTAGAGAAAAGCTCTACATTTAGAGAATAAAATAGGGTGACAGTGCAGGAAACACAATCCATAGCTGTGTATTATAAAAATCGACGTTTGCATTCTTATCAGAGTATCAATTTGATAATTACTTTAAATAATTCTTATTGTCGCCCAACTCTAGATGGGATTTACGATTTCCAATTGCGATTGATTAAAGCTACAGATATTCGAATATTATTTTCTAGCATAAGGTTTCTAAAATGAAATTTTCTGATTACCAGATGAGAGACGTTCGACAAACCTTGTTTCTTGCGTGGTGTTGTACTATAGGGGTCTTTGGAACACGGTTATTTATCACACACAAAGTTGATTTTATAATTGTTGTTGTTGTTATTATTGTTGTTGTTGTGATGTAGGTGGTTGTTAGTGATAGTTGTTGTTTTGGTTGTTGTTGTGTCAGGTAGAAGAGAGTTAAGTGCAGTTAATAGGATTTTATTTTGCTAGATTTTCATAATATTTTGTAGTATTAGGAAGGTACGAGCAAATGATTAGGAGCGTGCTGTTAGTTGTTCTCTATAGAAAAGCTTAGAGTTTAAGATCGTGTGGTGTTGAAAAGGGAAACAGACAGATAGAAAGACAGAGAAAAAGGTATGCGTTCTGGACCAATTCATTGAGTGGTTGTTATCATGCAGAAAAAAGTGTTGTTATCTACATCAGTATTAGTATAGACTGGACCATTTGACAAATGCTGATGGCTTATATAATTCCTTATTGCAGTTTTATAATGGAGGTCGCATGATTTAAATATATATAACACAAAATGTACGAAATTACAACAATTTTGGAGCCCAGTGTTTGCCAGATATTAGGTATCTCTAAATGAAAATTCAAAACGGTACGCGAAAAACTACATTTGATGTTTGTGCGTTATCATATCGGACGATCTTAGCTGCTTTGCTGACGGATTCAGCTCTCGAAAGAGACAATTGAGTCTTCCTGGATTGATGCCAATCGGTTTTTGGAGTACCTCGGTTGTGGTACTGACCCAGTCACTCCCGTGTTCATTTATAGATATATAAATCGTATGTGGAATATTACAAGATATGTTAAATGGTCACTCGTTTTATGTACGAGACTGTCGTTAGATATTCAATATTAACGACGACGACGACGACGAAGATAGTTTATACGACATAAATACGAAAAGTAAATATTACATTGAAACACTCGTACAACAGAAAAGATTTTGATAAGAAATCAAATTGATATAACGATATACGAAATAAAACCTCGCCGAAAAGAAATCAGGAGAATGAAATGTGTGTCATACCAGGTGTGGGGGGTGTGCTACCTCGTGATGGCTCCGCACCTGCTTGTCCCGCACCTAGATTGCCGCTTGAGGAGCCCTTTGTGCCGTACAGTCTTGAGGGTCTAGTTTGATTCTGCAACAGAAACCATCAATATTCGATGAGTTTTCAAATACTTCATTCATTCAAGGGCATATTCAGTTCAGCACCTGCATACGAATGTTGTCTAGCTTAGCGGGGCTGGGTATGAAGCCCACATCACAGCCTTCCTTAACCAGTCTGCCGATCCACCAGTTATTGTCATACTTCTCCTTGATGTGCAAAAACTCCCGGATCTCAAATGAAACTGCACCGCCCTGCACGGGCGAATCGTCGTCGATTGTGCCATCATATGCTACGTTGGTTCGCACAGCGAACGCTACAGGTTTACTCTATAAGGAAATCGATATTAATAAGTGTTTATCATAGTTAATCATTGATAGATCTTACCCTCGCTTTATCCAACTGGCTTAAGGCCTGACGTTCCTTTTCTCGCCGAAGCGATTCCTTTTCCTCGTCTAGCGACAGATCGGATGACGGTTGTGAGTAGTTCGAGTCGGCAGAACCCTGATAAACCAAATAAACAAAGCACATCATGTTATTGAGGGCAATGTGCACAATGTACATATGTATATGTATATAATAAGAACTCAATGTTCTCTCCATAAGTAATTATATTGGATGCTTGCCAGAGGCTGTGAATCGATAGTACCTAGAGAATTCAATGAGATCATAGATCAAAATATATGTGTATCTCCATGTAAGATCAAAGGGACGTGGTATCGGGACTGTAGAACTAGGTTATTTTAGTTATATTATTTGAACATTCTGCACCTGTGTGAATAGCTTATTGTATCCGCTTTGGTATGATGTATATCCAAGGCCAAATCGAGATTCTCGATGTTGGCCACCCTGAATGGAGGGAGCATCTGAGGAGGATGCTCGCTGCACCATGGGCCTGTCAGCCCGATAATCCTCTTCGAATGAAGATATTTTGATGATGTTACCGACCCAATGGCCCAAACACCCGCAATTGAAGCTGTTAATGCCACAGTAACGGACGCAATTGATGACGATGGCGATGACGATAGCGATGACGATGTCAATGGCGATGACGATGAAAAGCACTGAGTGACGATCCACAACACGCAGTGTCTGAGGAACGTTAAGGAAGCGAAAATTGCGATGGCCGCCGCATCCACTCTCCCACTGGTTGCTCAGAACTCGGACGCCAGGCGACAATCTGCAATCCACATTAGGCAATTGGCAGTTCGAGAAAGGGGACACGGAGAGGGACAGAGCAATAGCGAGAGTGACAGCGAGGGCGGGCGAGCGAGCGAGATAACGAGCTCTGGAAGCCACTGGCAGACAGGCAAACTCAGTAAATGTAAACGGTGAATGGTAAATGGTAAATGTAACTGGAAAGGCACACGCGCTGACTTCGCGCCGCTTCTTCTTCTTCTTCTAACTACTGAGCCACTTCCTCCCGGTATGATAATCTTAAAAATATATTTTATTTTTTCTCAACGCGTTTTCTACGCCGTATCCGCAACCGTTTTAACGTATTGGCGTCTCTCGTAAATTACTTTGTGTGAGTTAAAAATAGGTATTTGGCATTTTAGTTGGACCCGCGGCAAGCCGATAATCTGCTTGTTTTAATTTTTTTTTTTTTTTTTGTATATGCACACACATATAAATTTACTGGAAAATCCCAAGCTGTAAATGCCTTTGGGAACTCTCCCGCTGAGAAAAAATTCTTTTGTATTTATGTTGCTATTTTTTGTTGTTGCTTTATCACTTTTATTATGGCATTTAGTGCGTTTGCTTTTGTTAGAGATGGATTTGATGTGATTCTATTACAGTTATATGCCAGCTAGGACTCATTCGATTCATATTTCGTTTCAGATTCCATTCCCCGCGCACTTCGCCCAAGATATTCACTTTCGCATTCGCATTCGCATTCAACATTCACTCGAACTCAATTCCGCACGTAAACTAAATCGTTTCTGTATTTGGAAAACGAAAAATGTGTTCATGAATGCTTCGTTTTTGGGGAGAAAAAAAAAAGCACTTGTGTAGAGTTTCCCTCACTTCCAGTGCGTAAATGTTGTTGGGAGTGTGCACCGCAACACTACCCCGCTGCACTGTCCTTCCACTCTACCCACGTAGATGTGATTCAATGAGTGCGAGTGCGATTGCCAGTATTGCTATTGCTATTGCGATTGCGATTGCGATGCGAGTACTACGTACTACTACGTGCTTTCTATTCGAACACTAATGCAAATGCACACACTTTTACTTTGCCAATATGAAATGTAAACAAAATTCTCTTTTCATTTAAGTTCACTGGAAGTGGAGGTCCAAGTGCAATGGCAAGCGTACCCAAAATTCACATGCATACTTAATTATATGTACAAATACACATGTATATGTAAATGTAGTGCAAATGTATAGAGAATAGTTTAAACATATTAATTAAGCAATTTTATTCCCCTTAATTGCAGAAAAAGCTGAATAGATGCTATGAGCTTTGTTGCTTTGTGGAAAATCGATATTTGTCTAAATTAAGCAAAGGGTCGTCCACCTGTTGGCAAGTCACGCTTATCATACCTAAACATACTCACATGCATATATTCTCATATGTATGTGAGTACATATGACTGTTTATAAGGCACAGTGGAGGTATAAAATTAGATCTGCTCTGAGCGAAAGTGGGAGAATGTTTTAATTACGTTTATTTACAGTGAACTTGGATAATATTTAAACAAAATAATGTTGTAAAATATTTAATTCCACCAGGATGCATCAAATACACATGGATATATTTTCTTATTGGAATGTAATAATAAATATTCAAGCAAGAGTACAAATTTATATTGATTAAAAGAGGGTTTATTATTAAAAATATGTAGATTTATGAAACGAAATCAAGCCATTATTATCATATTTTTATCGCCAACTTTGTACCGTCAGATTCTAAAATGCCAACACAGTGTGCACGACAACGTAAACATTATGTTGTCCATCATCAAGTGTGTGCGAGAGACAGAGAGAAAGGAAACATTTCCAGATGAGCGCATAGCTACACACAGAGAGTCAGAGAGTAATCAAATGAATGTGTGGGAGAGAGAAGGTGGGTGTTTTGCAAGGAAAAGTCTACACTCACGAAAGGCGCATGCGTCGAAATGCGCTCTCTTTTTCGCTTGTGCTTCTTCTTATGTTTTGTCCCATTGTTTTGTTGTATGTAAACCAATGCCAGAGAGAAATGCGAATGTCATTTGCCCCCCTTTCGCGATATTCTGGCTGAAGGTAAGTGTGTGACGAATTATTGTTTACCTTTTCCGCTAATTCCAAATGTGGCCCAAACGAGTAATGAACTTGCCGCGCCACTCGTAAGACCTTTCGCCCGTTCTTAAACCTCTTTAAAACTGCAATCGACAGCATTTTAGGGATTGATTTGTGGCTTCACCGAGTCTTTGGCCTCATTCCGCATGCCTTTCGCATTACTTGTGCCACAATTCAGAGCAGAAATAAACAGAAAGAGTCGAGCAGAAAGAGTGATATTCAGCATGGCCAAGTGAGCGGAATTTTTAAGAGATCCACGTCGCGAGCAAGTGTTTAAAAATAACAAAACCGGGCCAGTGAAGGGGTGGGCCGCTGGGTGTATTGTCGGATCTGGGTCCGTGCTTACACTTACCCGACGATTCTTATTCCGAAAGGGTTTGTACGACTTCGCTTTATGCTTGGCGCCCAAATGTAGCTTCTTCATCGTGGAGCGTACGATTATCGATGGGTGTGTGGGTGTTAATGGATAAATAGAGCCAGCTAATCACAAAGCAGAGGAGCACTCGATGCTGGCACTGGCCCCGTATAAATTATGCAATCATAAATATAACACACAAATCACATCAAATATAAACAAACATCTTGGCGAAAACACTTCCAAGACTATTTGGGATCACAAAAATGGGTGAAACCCTTCCGAGTCTCTTTCAGTTAGGATCGCTCTGCGGCACGTGACAATTTCCAATGAATATATCACATTTTCTGTATATTTAAGTAAATTTTAGCATCACTTTGTTTTTTGTATTTCAAATTGGATTCCGATTCTTTTTTTTTATAGATGGGCGACAAACGATCACCGACCGACCACAAGCGCATAGACAACAATTCTGACTGCGGCTAAGTGGAACCGAATTCACTGATATACATGTATATATGTATATATATTTGTATGTGGACAACGATGTATGTATGTCTAAATGCCGAATTGGAGGCACACGGCGACATTATTTTTGGCAGCCGACGCCTCTCTTCTGGGGCGGCCGGAGTGGCGGGGGAGAGGCAGATGAGCCATGAGCTGATGCTGGGCAGATGATCGGCAAATCATTAACCACAAATCAACTTAATATCCGAACGAGCTGCCGTATGACAATACGAATTTGGGGAAGTCTTAAACCATTATGGAGTCGAAGGGCAAGCGAAGGGAAATCGTTATAATTTTCTGAATCATAACATACTTAAGCAAATTATTGTTTGTTCTTGAAATGTGGGAAATTCCCATTGCTTGATAAAATACAACAAAGTCACAGCGCACTGTAGCTCGTACAAGTGCATATATTTGGACTACAGATAAATTTTGGATTGGCCCTAATGTATGTATAGCTTCAAAAGACTGTGCAGGTCCATTGTGATTCCTATGTAGGTTTGTGTTCAACATGTTTAGAAATCATAGAGGAATTAACGACAACTAATAATCATTTTAAAGGAAACATATACATCTATGTAGATAGTTGCCCTACTACAAATTGATAATTAAAAGCATAGGGTCAAAACAATTCTTCAATTGAGATTCCTATGTGAATGGGGACAATAAAGAATATTTTTTGATCAAGAACATTTTAAGAACAGCATGTTTTGGTATCATAGAGGAATCAAGAAAAATAAATCATATGTATTTTATTTTTATATGTCAGATGTTTATGTATAGTTTTATATCTTGTTTCATGCTTAAATCCGACTATCTTAAAGAAAGCATTCTATAAATTTTACTAAGTTCCTATGGGATACAATACACGCAGTCACCAAAGTCACCTAAACGCATCAACCCTACGACGATAGTTATTCATTTAAATGGAATGGATGAAGTATAGCCAATCAGTTTAAGTAATCGTTACCAGTTTTATTATTCACATCGATAAGTATATTGTAGTCTTACTTTTGATCTTAAATTTCTCTACGTGCAAATTTACCCTAGGAAAACCGAACTGTACAATATCAAGAAGACAATTGTACAATTCTTTTTTTTAATAAAAATGTAAGAAATTTTCTTTGAATGTGCATAATAAGCCAATTATCATATAAAATATATATTTTTAATTTATCATCATCGTTAGTGCGGCTAGGCAACTGCATCCACTCTTAGTTATGATACTCCAGTCCATGCAGGTTATGGTCAAGGTAGACGTAGGCGGGCACCTGATCCGTATATGCACCTGCCGAGCCATAGTCAACAGCGGGACGGCTACATGAACTACATGGCACTCGCACCAGGTTTGGCTGGCAGCTAAACAGATAGTTCTGGGGGCACGGTGGCGATGCTACGCCCGGACAGGATGAGTTCGCGAATGCTGCGAGTAGCATGAATAGGAATGCGCCAAAGAACTCCATAGTCAGTGATTGATTCTTATTGGAACTTCGACAGGTAATAAATAAACTGACAACCGGCATATTTTCCGCACACTTTTTATAGGTGCCACAGTTAATCGAACTGCAATGTAAGCGATTTCGAATTGTTTTGCTGAGCGAGCATTTAATTTAAGTGTGAAATATTTGCGTATCAATATATTTGTACATATATATTAATATATGCCTGTTAAGGTGTAGTTGCAGGTGTAACTGTTGTCAAGTTGTCGGAAGACGTGTAAACATTTTTCAGCAACCAGAAAAAAAAAATGCTTGCAAACTATACTCTCCCAAAGAAGGTATATATATTTGACATTCCAATATGTAACTGTACATTATACAATACATATTTTCAGTTCCATAAATTATATATTAAATATGTAGAAAAACATTTTCAATAAATATACGAATAATAATATCAAATCTACGCCCACCTCAATCGATCTCTTATTTTTTTTTTTTGTTTAAGTCATTTGAAGAGTATCTAATGTTCGGCGTTCAAAATTTATTCATATGTTACAATTGATTAAGACAGAAAGGTATTAGGTTGTTTAGATCCCTAGCTATATGAGATATGAGTAAAATTGCAAAATAACAATAAGATGAGAAACCACACAGGGATCTATAGATTCCTACAGTTGCAGCCTCACTGATATTGTGGAACAGAATTCAATAAATACTGATTCTGGATTGCAGATCTATAGATTGTTTTACCGTCTCATCCACTAGTTATGGCATAGGTAAGTTTCAATGTTAAAGACCATAAACTTAGTTT